CGGCGGAGCGCTCGTCGTAGATACGTTGGCGGTGCTCGGCTTGGATCAGATCCATTTTGTGCACGAGACAGAAGACGTAGGCGTTTGGGCTAAATTCGCGCAGGGCTTCAATTATCGCATGATACGTGTCCAGGTCGCGTTCGACTTCTCGTGATTCGATATCGAATACGTAGATGAGAACTGCGACGTCTGAGAAGATGTTGCCGCGCTGTGAAGCCAGATAGGTTTCCATGAAGGCATCTTGTCTGAGATGGGGAACTTTGTGTTAATGAAATAACTCCTGGATTGGAAGTCGAGTACGCTTTACTCACCCTCCGCAGTCCCACAAATTCAATGTGAGGTTACCCATGAACTTGACGTGGCTGTGCTCCACATCAATTGTAGCGCCTAGGCGCCGGACATCTTTTGCGACGTAGTTGCTGAAGATGATTGAGCGCATGGATGACTTCCCCGATCCACTCTTGCCCATCAGGAGGACCTTTCTCTTCTTCTTCCTAGCATCCATCCTGTCAGATGTTCTTGGGGGCTGCCGTTGAGCTCAATGCCCCGCTCTTGCGGGGACAACTCGGGTCGATCTGGAGGGTAACTTGGTGCCTTCACAAGGTTGCTCAGATGCAGTGATATTGGTTTTCGGTTAGAAGTCCAATATTAGCATTTTTTGTTAGCCTTGACAATGGGATTGAAGGCGAGCGAGCATAAGATAAGAAGGAAAGGTGAATCATGAGCTCCAGCCTTCTAATGCGGAGACGGAACAATGTTATTCCTATCCACGTGATTTTAGAGTTACCCTCGTTGGAGATAGGATGAGCGGATGAGATAGGGAAAAGGATGAAGCTCGGAATTTGTTTATAGAGATTTTGGTATTTACTATCAAGTTACTCGGAGAAGGTGCTCACAATCACTTGTTGGCACTGGCACTGTGGAGTTTGTTTTATTTTTTTTTTGAGAAAGGGGCCGAGGTTACGGGATGACGACATCCCATGGGTCTCCCGAAAATCATAGATCTTCCTTCTAAGGTCAAATGGCTTTTATGAACAGGAAAAGTGAAATAAAAGTGAAACATGTAGAATAGACAGTGAAAGAAGGAGAAAAAAAAAGATGAAATGTATGATCAAATAAGCCGCCGCCCAAAACCAATGGGAAATGAAATGAAGAGCCTCAAATGCAGAGGAAAAAAGAGAAAATGGTCCAAAATGGCGGGAAAAGAAAGAAGGAAAAAAGGTAGAAGAAAAAAAGGGTAGAAAAAGAAAAAAAAAAAGCCAAACATGAGATATAGGTATGAAGGTATTCAGTCATGAAGAGTTCAGTTCATCAAAAAGCTCGTCCCAAATCGCAAAACCAATGACGAAGGTATCTAGGTATCCAAGCATCAATTAAAATGGGCAAATAGGGTATTAGAAGACAGTGCCATCAGATCGTATCATGATAGGGGGTTCCTTAGTATTTGGTCTCGAAACTTCCGCAATCTCGCGACCACCCTGTAGTTTCATTGTTAGAATCAATGTAGCCAGAAGAATGGTTGAGTGCTTACCTTCCAGGTACCAGCCTCGAGCATTTGTGCTAGTGATAGTTGGTCTTCAGAGCCCTTAAGCCCCAGTTGAGAGTTGACCTCCTCTAGCAGATCATCCAGGAATCCAACAGTAACGGCTCGCCATTCGACAATTACGTCGTCGTCGGCGCAAAAGAGCGGTGCCACTTCCACACTTGGCTGACCCTTAATCTGAGCATTCTCTTTATATGCATCGATTCCTCGTTGCATATCTTCCGGTTTCAAACTCAAGAGTCCCAGGTCGATAAGAAGGCCTCCGTTTCGATATTCAGGAAGACCTGTGAGAAGGTCGCTGCCGGCGAAGTGGATGAGCATCAATTTCGACATTGGTACCATGATCGAGTAGCATAGCCATTGTGTCAGCTTGTGGAATGGAACGATGCTCTCCCACTGCTGTCCAGGAGGAGAGTTGGGGAGATTGGAGCACTTCCAAGCATCTCCAATGGATACTCCATCAATCTGTGTTCGTGACGGAGGCCAGATGGGAGAGAAGCCGTCCATGAGTACAGACCACAAAGTGGTAATCGGAACAATAGGTACGGAAGAAGCCATCGTTGATGGATGACCGAGAAGATAATCTGATAAAAGATTAGTAGCTGATTCAACACACAATAGCTGGATTGCCTTACCTAGCATATTTCCCGGTCTAGCGTCCACACCAAAGAAGTCTTGATTGTTAAGTGCATCGGAGAGCCGTACCAACAACCCCGTGCGGCCTTCAATACCAGCCAGTGGATTTTGTTCGGAATGTTGCATCCCCTTGGCAAGCACCTCGACCGTCATCTTTTTCAGTCCCGCACCATCCACCTGGCACGGCTCCGTAGGATCGCTACTGAAAAGGCCAGATTTGAACATCTCCAGACTCGCCACCGCCAAGCCTTCACTGCGCGAGAAGACTTTACCCGACTCCTTCGACCGGTACGACCATTTGTTCCCGGCACCAGCGTCGAGCAAAACGGACACGACAAACAAATCAATCAAACGGCGGGTGCGCTCCTGTGCATCAATGCGGCTCGGCCAGGACTGGAGGAGCTGATTGATACGCGGTCTGCCGCCAACGTCGAAATGCTGCCAGCGACCATGCGGCGGGATATTCTCATAGTCTGGTGCATGATCTCGCTATTGGGGGACACACATATTAGCGCAATCACATGATAGAATGACAATGGGGTTTACCTTTATGATGGAGACGATATAGGAGGCAGTAGCTTCGAATTTGCTCATGTCGACATCGAAATGGTTGAGTTGGTTCTTCTTGGCCTTGTCCAGGAGGATACTGGAGCGTTCACGCACTGCATGGATGCTTCGTAGGTATGCGGCAGGGTCTAATGCTGGATCCGGTGGTCTGGCGATAGGGAGTTCGGGAATTGAGGCTGGTGGACCACTTCCCTTATATCCTGGCGATCTCAGAGATGTATTCGATGTGCGAGCGCTATTGGCTGTGAATGAATCGTTCTCATCTTTCTCGGTTTGAATTGAGTTCTTTGAATCTTTGCGCTTAAATAGACCCATTGCGGGAGTTTCACCCCAGATGCAGGGCAAGAGTTGAAAGGGGGTGGAGAAATTGAAAGGAGGGGAGAGAAGTTCAAATTGTTCACAAAGAGGGGAGGGGGAAAGTGACATCTGCTTCTGATGTTTTTTTTAAATTTTTTTTTAGCATAAAAGGCTCTAAGAGTAAAACTAGGTAAAACAGGTGTAATATGATATTATTTTTTTATTATGGGGCATTGACCGGAGCTCTTTCGACGGGCTAGATGTGCCATTAATAATTTGGAGTCCCCGGGGGGGGGGGGGGGGGGGAAAGCAAAGTTCGAAGTCTGGATCGATAAAGCTTGGGAGGTATCAGGTACAATCCACTACTCGTACTTTCAGATAGCTCAACGTGCTCTCAAAAAACTAGTGTCATATGCCAATGTATATAACAATTATCCGTGTGCAGTGTACTCCGTATATAGCCTATGTGTACGGCAAAAAAACGATTGCCGTAGATATGGGCCCGGAGCAATGAGCCAGTCGGAAAGCAAGAGAAGGAACTATCATTCCACTTTGTAAACGAATTATATCCTGAGGGAGATAAATAGAAATGGAAAGATCAAGTAAATTTTGGTTCAGAGGCGCCACCAGGTGGTACGTGTATAGATCGCTAGCTCGGATCGATCAGCCCATGCCTTATTAGGGGATATAATAGGTCCAGGATGAGAAAAAAAAAGAGATGCCGTAAATGCACGGACTAGCGTACCGTTCAAAAAAAAAAACAAAAAAAGAAAACAAAAAGGCACGGCTTGCCCTGTGCGGACGAATCCACTTCGGGTACGTCTACAATTGTATGTGAATGGTCAACTATCGCGCGTTAATTCTCGTATCTGAAGCGCATGTTAAGTTTGTGAGTTTTATTTTTCTGTTCAATAGTGTTTCAGGGGAGTAATTCTGAAGATTTCAGTAAAACCCCCATGCGCTGTACGGAAAAGACTTGGCTCAAAGTATGTCTAGAAAGAGGAAGGTGTCGCTTCTCACATGTATAATATACCCTGTCTCTCAAGCCTTCGTTTCACATTGTAATCTGCCCCCTCCTTTTGGAATTGCTAGACATGGGTACAGCATATGTAATTTCAGGCCTCTTTATTTGTCAAATATGCACAAGTCTGCATGGTACATATCGAACAGTGGGCAAAGGATCACTATGACGTTGAAATCCTTCCCAACTATTAGGGGGCTCATCTCCGGACCGTTAAGGGCCCCGGAGGGGGCCATTTATACCGCAATGCATCCAGCTAACGGGAAGCACGGGCCTGGCCACTCTCCTGGGTTTCATATTGACTCTCTATTTTCTTTTTTCTTTTGAAAATGACATCTCAGAAGTAAATTATAGACAAGAATAGCGAAGGTATTGTGCGAAATGACCCATAAATAGTGAGCCCTGATGGTCAGGGGCAAAGCTCATTGCGATCCACTTGATTTCCATTCGCTACCGCGCGGCTCGTCTTCCCGAGAGGTTCCGCTGTTGTAAAAAAGCGGAGTTCCGACTTGTATTTTTCCCGCATATCCATCGAAAGACCTTTAGATACACGGAGTACTCCGTTGATAGCCAGTATCTAGACCCCGGATTCTTACCTCACTCTACAGGGCAAATGCTACATCACTAGTGGAAAAACTCATTGGGGCTTCTAATCTGCCGTTTGGTCTAGATTATCGATTGGATACAATGTACTCCGTGTTGTAGATAGATCTAGGCATATGGTGGCCACTGGATCGGTCTTATCACCGGCATTTAGCATCCTTTCTAGTTGTCTTTCCACGGCATTGTTTTGATGTCTTTTTTCGGTGTCCATGATCCCAAAAAAACTGTCACTTAATAATGTACACACAGTATATAGGCAATCGATTGCTCCTGCCGGCAAATAAAGTCTACATATGTAGCTTCCTATTTTTGAAATAGCCATAACGTTTGGCCATGGTAGGAGAACGTAGAATAACATTGAATGTTGAAGCCCTCCAGATGTCATTCATCTACCACTGACTTCACCCTCTTTAAGCTCAGCCTCAGGATCTAAGTCACCGCTCACTCCTGATAACGCTACTCTGCAATATTGTAAGCTAGAGGAATCCAAACCACTCGCCGCCCTTAACAACACCACTCAGCCATTTTTCAAGCCAGAGGGATCCAAGCCACCGCTCACCCCTCTTGATAACACCACTCCGCCACTATATTTCGATACAGAGGAATCCAAGCCACAGCGCGCTAACACGACAACGAGAGAAAGTACGGACCAGGAAGACCACGAGCGAACGTGGGAGCCTGATTCCGACTACGCTGAAGGCGATGCCGTTCTAGCTCGGGGGTGGCCACGCAACCATCTCAACCTCGCACAGCACGGGTTCCGTCACGTGTGGACCCACCGAAACGGATACCCTGAGGATGAGATCCCGGCAGACATTAAGGAATGGTTGGATGACAACGGCCAGCGCAGTAGGGATCTTCTTTTTCTTGTTTAGGGAACTTGGCAGCTAATCTCAACTACGACAATAGAATCTGTCCGAATGATCGGGCCCCTACGCAGTTTGGCATGGTTAGCGCGGCTTGGCGAACTCGTCGAAGCGATCGACGACCCTGCCTACCTTATCAAGGACGCCATAGAGATCGTTCCCTTTAGGGCAACCCTGTTGTGGCCAGTAGAGCGCCATATGGAAGAAGGAACGCTTCCTCGGGTAATCTAAGCGAAGGCCTTGGGAAACAAGCCGCTCATACCTTCGTCGTTAGTGACAGCAGTTGCTACTCCTACCCCAGACGCCATCAAAGAGACGTTAAAAGCCCCTAACCTCCGCAGCCTATACCGAAATTGTCGAATAGAACCATCACGGACGATTGATCGTACCAAGGTAACGTTCGATAAGAAGTTCGATTGATTGGAAGTTGGTATTAGGAAGCTCGTTAGAGCACCACTGGAGTTCCAAAACCTCTGGTATCGAGGCTAACACTTGATGAGTTGGAATCAAGTCTGGCGTTTTTCATTCCACAAACAAATAGCCACAATATCGATAACGAGTTTGGCCCTGGGATTTATACTGCCGACCATCTGAGCCATGCGCTCCCATTTGTTCGTGGTGGAGGCGCCATCATGGTTTTTAAAGACCCGGATAAACATCGCACTCGGGTTTGGGAGCCAGACTCGGAATCTTGGGGCTCTTTGGTAGCCAACTGGAAGCATCTCCCTCTTGAGATTGCCCAGCAAGTTCCAGAGGAGTACTACACCGCCGACTTCACGAAGGAACTAATATTTAACGAGGAGAGTAACGTGCGGAGTGCGCGTGGAGTCCTAACCCCTTCGGAAGAATACCAGCTGGTTGCCTGCAGCTATGGAGGATGCAAAGCTTTGTCTGATTCTCACCAGATGATTATCTTTATTACGCGGAACTAAGCGGCCGATTCTCAGCTTGGGAAGTCTTTTCTTTCCATGTACACACTAACAAAGTTAAGATTGCTCCGGCTCAACAGTCACTACTTGCTGCTACAATGTGATCACTTTTCCAATTCCACTTTTCGATCAACTTTGGCATCTCAATACATACAAAGGTACCCCGTAGGCTGGGAGAAATTACATAGCCACGGACCATGTGCATATAGCGTTGTACCCAAGTAGTACGTATCTACTCCGTAGGGCTACAAGACCCATGCATGGAGCCTAGACTGTAGTTGCCCCACCGGCATAAACTTCTTCGACCTCGTATAGATGGATATTACCGGGTATTTCTAGCCTGTCAAACTTCATAAGCCTAGGCGCTAAGACATGAAGCTCTTCTCAATTCGTGCCATTTACTGAACTTTGAACGATTTAACATGAGTCTAGCGGGTGACAGAAATGTCACTCTGGACTTTCAAAGACACTAGAGTACGGACTAGCCTGAAAGAACATGCTCCGTAGATATGGGCTAGAATTTATGGAGTACGTGGGTCTTGCAGAAAAGACAAGATAGTTCTAGCTGTAACGACGTATTGCATTTCCGACCCAGTACGTCCCTAATTGGGACATGATATTCATTGGCCAAAAGCAGAAAAGGAAACGACCACGCCCTGTCTACAAATAGTCTAGGAGATCTCCGGATACTTGTTCCTATAATGGTTGAATGACATGGACATGTAGTTTAGCTTTGGCAGGGATTGATGCGATGTACATGCCTAGATGTTATGGGTAAAGTCTCTGCCGATTAGGGCTAGGAACCGATGATATCTGTGGGTTATTGTATGGCTCGAGGACTTCAAATTTTTGCTGCTTAAGGGCGACCGTCAAGAGGTAGAATATGGCTACCTCGCACGTGAGCTTTTACAGGTGTAGCTTGACCGGCAGAGACATCCTCATGCTTGCCGATACAACTGACATTTGGGGCTCCACACTGTAAGTTTTGGGGTTCTCCATAGCTTTATTAGGGACTTTGGTTTGCACAAGTCCATCACTGGGAGGCTTGGGCAAGTAGTATTTTCAAATTTTCAAGGTGGTTCTTTTCCATTTAATCATCGGATTTGCCAAGTTTGGGGTCACTTGGTTAAACTACCGCGATAGGAATAGTTCTCAGGTTTTTCTATGGGCTGAAAGAGATTTGAGTGATCCTTGAGAGTTTTAGAATCATGATTATTGAGAAATCAAAATATACTATGGGCTAATTGAAAGTCTCTGGACTATGATTTTTCTCACGTCAACGTCATTGCATACACTTCGGACTTAGCTTATTTCATGATGGGCGGAGTTGATTTCTGACACCCTTTCAACCTCAAACTCAAGAAACTGTATAGCTAGACAAGTGAATTGATATTTCCTCATATAACCTTAGGGAAATGAAGCTATTCCAGAATGCGACTGATGAAACCGTAGCATCACGTGCTAGCCTCAGTGCGGTCTGGGTCCCCCACATGTAGGGGGCAAGTGTTCTACATCTGCTTGATAGCATAGCAAACGATTGAAATAACTTCAGTCTTTTACTTATATTGTGAGCTGGTGAGATCATGGAAAACCTTCATCCCTATCCTGGGACCTAATCCTCATTCGAACCCACCAGACGTCATCCTTTGCGACAAGCTCACTCACCATGGAGGACCTCAACGGCTTGAGTTGGTCCGACTCCAAACACACAAGCAAACCACCGCCAATGAGCTCTGGATACTTGTACCCAAGTATACCATCAAATGGCGGCTCTGGCAGGTCTACCCCGTTATCTGCGACCTCGAACCGCTCAAGCTCGCCATCAAAGCCCGCCACTTCTACCGGAGATAGCTTTGCGAATCTGGTCTCATTCAATTCTTCCGCCGGAAGCAAGAACCTTTCTCTCATAGAACAGCAGAAACGCTTGCAGGAGGAAAAGGCCAAGAAGGAAGCCGATAAACGCAGTCAATTTGAATCGCAATACGGAGGCCAGAACAACCAATTCTGGGACAACTTTGAAGGACATACGCGGAGCCCCGCATCCGTACCTACATCTCGATCTGTACCACCGCCTGCGGACGATGAGGATATCCTGGCCGCCTTCGATGCTGCCGCGCCGGTGGACGCGTCGACCAATTTCCCAGTACCCGACTCCTCGAGATCCTCGCCTCGAAGCGATATGAACCATCGCCCAGAACCTTCCAATGGGGGAATTTCCATGCAGGACAACGCAGGGGGTATGGACGCCTTTGATGATGATGACCCATTCGGCCTCAATCAATTGAAGCCGAAACCAGCCCCCCCTCCTCAGCCTCAACAGGGCGACGATGATGATTTCCTTGGTTTGCTCGGGAAGCCGGTATCAGATATCCCCCGCCAGGAACCACCTCCCACATCTTCCACACCCTCAGACCGAGGACGCGACCAAGATGCATCTCCTATGCCTTCCAACGAGGTCGATCGGGCTATTGCGGAGCTGGTGGACATGGGATTCCCGGCGGATAAATCTCGCCGGGCTTTGAATACCACAGAGTCCGGGACCGATGTACAGGCTGCTGTTGGTTGGCTTCTTACCCAGGCACATGCCGAATCTCGTCAGAAGACCGAAGGACACCCCAGTGCGACTCGATCTGCCGATCGTGCTGAAAGGAGCGATAGTCGTAACCGCGACAGGCCGTCGTGGATGAGAGAAGAAATGCCAGAATCTCGGTCACGCCAGGACAGACGGAGTCCAGCATCGGCGGACAAAGACCCTGCGCAGGTCGCCTCTCAATTTGGTAATAATCTGCTGAAATCCGCCGGTTCGCTTTGGAAGACTGGCAGCAAGAAATTCCAACAAGCTGTAAACGAATTCAATACTGAGAATGACCCCAGCCAGCCACGTTGGATGAAAGATGCATCCTCTCCACAAAATGAGCCTTCTTTGCAGCCGCAGCGTCCAGATCGTCGTGACCAGCCGACTCAATCCCAAAGAGAGCAGCAGGACTTCACTAATGAAGCGCTTCTTCTTGAGTCTGGAGATGGTCGGCCGCAGAAACCTTCTCGTCCTCGTGAAAGCCACCACCCCGACCCGAGAAGCCAGCCTCCTCGTAACCAACAGGCCCCCGGCGCTGTACAGCCGAGGCAACAACCTAACTTCCTCCAGCGTCCATCCAGACCAAGCTCTCAAGATCCTAAATCTCGGCTTTCGCGGTTTGCTGAAGAGCAGCCGGCGCAAGCATATGTTAGTCCCGCGAGACGCAAGCGACCTCAGGCCACACCGCCGCCTTCTGAGTCTACTGTCGATCTATTTGATTCTACCGCTCCTTCTGCTAGTCGTTCAAAGCCTCCCACCCCTGCCCAGACTGCTACGCCTCCGCAACGCTCAGTCTCCATCCCCGTACGCCCCAAAGCCCCAACACGGTCTATTCCGCCTGTGTCTCCAGAGGCACTTCAATCGACACATCGGCACCGCGCAAAGGCCGCAGAGTCATACAAAAGAGGCGACTACGCAGCAGCCCATCAGAGCTTCTCCACGGCTCTTGGTATGCTCCCCGATAAGCATCCTATCACCATTATCATCCGCAGCAATCGTGCCATGACAGCCCTGAAAATCGGCGAACCCAAGTCTGCCATTGATGATGCCGACATCATCCTAACATTCATTGGTCCATCTAAGGGCGAATCGGAGGCAATCGATCTCTGCACTGGGGAATCGCCTAAACCTATGAAAGATTTCTTCGGCAAGGCTTTAATGCGCAAAGCTGAAGCTTTAGAGCAACTCGAGCGCTGGGGTGATGCCGCACAGGCGTGGAAAATGGCTGTAGAGTCTGGTCATGGTGGCAGCACGAGTATCCAAGGCCGGAACCGTTGCGAGAAAGCAGCTGGTATCAACAAGCCTCAATCTAAGCCTGCAACCCCCGCTAGTAAAAGGCCTTCACCTCCGCCTAAGAAGGCTTCGGCTATGTCCGGTCTCACGGCCACGTCTGCATCTGGGTCAGACTTTGAAGCAGTCAGTCGTCTGCGGCAAGCCAACGAGGCGGCTGAGCGCGCCGACGAAGAGAAGTTTGCTCTTTCTGAGAGCGTCGACGCGAGAATTGCCGCCTGGAGGAATGGCAAGCAAGACAATTTGCGTGCATTGCTGGGTAGCCTGGATTCTGTGCTATGGCCCGAGGCTGGGTGGAAGAAGATTGGCTTGTCGGAGCTGGTTTTGCCGAATAAGGTTAAGATTCAGTACATGAAGGGAATTTCCAAGGTGCATCCTGATAAGGTATGTTTGCCCCCTTCTTAGGCGGCATTGGCTGCATCTCATCTGGTGGTCAACTAACGTTCCCTATTAGATCTCTACTACTGCTACTACTGAGCAGCGTATGATTGCTGGATCTGTGTTCGGAACCCTGAATGAAGCGTGGGATAAGTTCAGAGCTGAAAATAACCTCTGAGAATTCCTATTTCCCTGTTGATACCATCTACCCCAATGTCACTACTTGCATCTCATGATCCTATTAGAAGGCGGCCTTCATAGCGTCTTTGTCCTATACATAGAGAATTCCCATATGAGGGGTTGCCTTCTTTATGGTTCTGATCCTCTGTAGTACTCATTCATCGCCGTTGGTTCGATATCGGAGGAGTTGACGACCACCAGCTTGACACCAGGATTGCGTAAAATGCGAATAATTCAAGAGCCTTTTGAGTAAATGATATGGGCGGTGTAGACTGTCTTCTAACGCAACAGTGCCTCAATCTAGCTATGGAAATTTTATGCTAACGAAACAAATCACTGGTATCTATTCATCCTCATGCCTCGGTGCTCTCTTCCACCTTTTCTTCCTCAGCCTTATCTCCCGATCCTGGCTGCGGATTTTCTTCCAATTTCTTCTGTTCGTCGCGAAGCCTTGCTCGTTCCGCTGCAGCCTCTCTCTTCATTTGCTTCTTGCTTATCTTCGGCTCATCGGGCTTAGCGACCTTGGCGGACGGCCATTGATCCCGGCACTTTTGCTCTTGTTCTTCAGACCAAGCCCGAGGCAGGATCGCAAAGACCAGGTATGATGTGTGAGTTCGGAGGTCTGGCTCTGACCGATGCGTCAAACGACCCTGAGCATATAAGGGGACATCGGTCTTCTCTTTATAGAACGGAGTCTCCTTCGCAATTGGCTGATAATCTGGATCGTCTTTGCTCGCTCGGTTGTCACGGATGAGCTTCGCACGTTGTTCATCACTGCGAAGCTTTGCGACAGCCTCCTCAACCGTCTTTGGATACAATGTAGCTCCGCGTACGCCCTCGGTATCCAGCCCGATACGTTCCCGTTTGACGTCAAGTCGACGCTGAGCGACTTCCACCATTGAAATATTCAGCCATGACAGCTTCCGCATAGTGCGGATTGTACGCTCAGCCTGCTCGAGACAGGGCGAGAATGTGCACAGATAAGCGGGCGACTCAGGGTCGAGAGCCGATTCCTGCCCAGGAGGCGGATTGCGCACGAGATGTTTCAATGCGAGCCAGGGAGCGGGTAGATCCAGGAAGATGGCATTGGCCTTGGGCGATTTGCCGGTTTTGGGATCGCCCAACAGAAATCCGTCTTCGTAGACATCGCGATGCGTAGCCTCCACTATCCCGTCCAGACCGTGGTCTTTCAGTTCCTGCCGCACTTTGGCCGCGCGCTGTTCGTGGAATTCAAAACTGCATACTTTTCCCAGTCGTTGCCGTTTGGTCGCTCCGTCGGTCCCGGGATACCCGTTGAAAACGGCGCGAGCAGAGGCGTGTGTGAATGAGCCGCTACCGGCTCCGGCTTCAATGACTGTGCAACCAGGTCGTGCGCGGAGTCGGTGGAGGATGTAGCTGTAGTCTGGGGTGTAGACAACCTGCGTGCGGTGGGGAAGAGATATGGTCCACGCTTCGGGGGTCGGGGCGAGGATGTGCAGGAAACCACTTTCCGCTGAGACGGGGGCTCTTAATGATGGCTTCTTCTTCTCCTCCTCTGCGCCGGTTGTTGTTGCGTCGGCATCGAGTTCTTCAGCCTTGCGCTTGGCGGATTGGTTGCGACCGCGCGAGCCTGTGTCGACTTTTGAAGCGACAACCTGCGAGCCCCAAGTTTGCCCAATCAAAGTGCTGTGTGGGAATGAACCGAAGCGGGTGTTGGTGACCTTGCCTTCCCAATAGCCTTGGTTCTCATCGTCATGGTCGCGGAGGATCGTCGGGATGATCTGATCGCGACGGAGTTGCAGGAGGGCGAGGCTATCTGCTTCGGTTTGGGCGTTCCGGGTGAAGAATGGGGACGGCATAGTGAGTAATATCAATGAGCGAAATTGATATGGACAATCCCTAACTTGAGGCTGGAACTTGCCTCTCCGCAAAAGAAAAAATGTTGCCATGCTCATTACCTGATCGGGCCATAAATTAGGGCTCAGGGCTCGGTCCTCCCATCCCCAGTTGCCGCCAATCACAGCGAGTCCGCAGTTGATGGATGAGTCGATCTGGTCCTGACAAGAGCCCCTCCCCCTCCATTTGTCTTTGTTTTCTTTATGCTCTCCCCCCGATCCTCCCTTCTTTCCTTTCCTTTCTTCTCACCGTCCAAACACCGGCTTTTATTGTCTGTTAATTCTTTCAGGTCTATGTCTTCTCGCCAGCAGCCGCCATGGCGGCAACCGGCCTCCAGCCCGGACGCGCAACTGCCTCCATTGAAGGTGTGGAACTCGTTGACCAAGTCCAAGACCCCTTTCGTCCCGATCGACCCTGCGGGCAAGAAAGTTGTGTGGTACGCGTGCGGACCGACCGTTTACGACGATGCGCATCTTGGACATGCCCGAAACTATGTTAGCACCGATATCATTCGGCGAATTATGCGCGACTACTTCAAGTTTGATGTCAACTTCGTTATGAACATTACAGATGTGGACGATAAGGTATTACTCGGCGCTGTGTATATGGATACAGTCTCAAGCGTGGTGACTCACCAATCCTATAGATCATCCTCCGCGCCAGACAACAACACCTGTTTAACGAATTCGTCACTGTCAACCCTACGATTACCCCGGAGGTTCTAGACACCGCCAAATCCGCTTTCGTTGCCTACTTAAAGAAGAACCTTCCCTTGCTCGAATCTGAACTCCCCCCCTCGCAGTACCAGAAGGAGGTTGAAAAAACTTACGCAACTATCTTGAACGGCGGAGCTTTGCCAGGAAACGAGAAGGCAGGCGATGATGAGGCCAAGGTTAAGATGCACATCAAGACGGCTGCGTCGGCCGCAAAAGTCATCGCGCAGGCGGAAACCCGTGATGGCTCGAGTGCCGACCCTGCTCTCTTCGCTGAGTCATTCTACTCGAACGCGCAGGATCTGCTTTTGCCTTACCTCGATGCCCTGAAGGGTGCATTGGTTGATGCGGACGATCACAGCATCTTCACCAAATTGACCAAGAGATATGAAGACCGCTTCCTTAAGGATATGCGGGACCTGAATGTTCTTGATCCCACCGAGTTGACTCGCGTGACGGAATATGGTGATGAGATTGCGGCCTTTGTGGATCGCATCGTTAAGAATAACTTTGGATATGCTACAAAGGACGGATCGGTGTACTTTGATATCAATGCGTTCGAAGCTGCGGGCCACCCGTACGCTCGCCTTGAGCCATGGAGTCGGTCAGACAACAAACTGGCTGCAGAGGGCGAAGGCTCTTTGGCCAGCAAGACAACAGAGAAGCGTGGACCTTCCGATTTCGCTCTCTGGAAGTCGTCCAAGCCAGGCGAGCCGAGCTGGTCCAGCACCTGGGGCAAGGGCCGCCCTGGTTGGCACATCGAATGCTCAGCCATGGCATCAGCCCGGCTGGGCAACCAGATGGATATCCACTCTGGTGGTATTGATCTTGCCTTCCCGCACCACGACAATGAGCTTGCCCAGAGCGAGGCATACTGGCACGGTGACCACAAGCATGAGCAATGGGTTAACTACTTCCTGCACATGGGCCATCTGTCTATCCAAGGATCCAAGATGTCCAAGTCGCTGAAGAACTTCACTACCATCCGAGAAGCGCTTGATCGCAAAGACTGGACGCCGAGAAGTCTGCGCATTGTTTTCCTCCTTGGTGGGTGGAAGGACGGCGTTGAGATCACAGAGGACCTGGTAAACACTGGCAGTTCATGGGAGGAGAAGGTGAACAACTTCTTCCTCAAGGTGAAGGATCCTGCGGCTCTCCAGTCGTCAGGCACTGACACCACCTTTGCTGTTGATCTCGAAGCGGCTAAGAAGACAGTCAACGACCAGCTCTGTGATTCTTTCAACACTCCTGCTGTCATGGCGTCAATCTCAGAACTCATCTCCAAGTTCAACATTGTCGACAAGGCCACCGTGCCTTCCGCGGACGTTCAGGCTGCAGCCCAATGGGTTACCTCCATGGTGAACATTTTCGGTCTCAACGGCACCGCCTCGGCTGACAGCACTGAAGTTGGCTGGTCTGGTATTGATATCCCCGAGGAGGCCAAGGCCTACCTGTACCCTCTATCAGCTATGCGTGACTCTCTCCGTGATGCCGCGCGGTCCAAGGCTGGAATCTCCGCCAAGGACCTGGAGGCGGCAGTTGCCAAGGCATCAGTATCCCAAGAGGCCTCCGAAGCTGCTAAGCCATACGCTGAGCTTTTCTCCAACTTCCGTGCCAAGGTGGTGTCTTTGGAGTCATCTGATTCCATTGGCAAGGATATTCTTGCCCTGTGCGATCGGGTGCGAGACATCGACCTCTTCGATGTTGGTATCGCCCTCGAAGATCGGGAGAACCAGCCTGCCCTGGTCCGGCCAGTCACCCAGGAGATGCTTAAGGCACGGGAAGAAAAGGAAACCCGGGCTCTCCAAAAACAAGCCGAGAAGCTGAAGAAGGAGCAAGAGGCTCTCAAGAAGGCAGAGAAGGGCAAGCTGAGCCACCTGGAGATGTTCCGCACCAACGAGTACAGCGCCTGGGACCCGGAAGGTCTGCCTACCCACGACACTGCCGGTGAGGAGATCACTAAAAGCCGGGCGAAGAAGCTCCGCAAAGACTGGGAGCGCCAGAAGAAGGCACATGAGGCGTGGTTGGCTACCCAGGCCAAATAAAAGCCAAAAACAAAGAGAGCATATTATTTTTAAACACCTAGTTTGCTAGGTATCGGTATCTTGGGGGTGGGTTTCCACTTTGCATCGCGTGGCGTTTCTCTCGACATATATCCTTCTTATCCTATACAATGCGAACATTGCCTGGTTGGGATACTTCAAGCACCATATGCTTTTAATTTGCTCAGTATATGTAGTTCAAGTAATTGTTATGACATGCTGTAAACTTTCGAGGTTTCCCAAAACCTTTGACGCTTTTGACCCAGCTCCAGCGCGCTCATACATACTATACATACTTCCGTCATACTTTCTAGCGCGTTATCCCATGCTGCACCACAATAACACACAGTGCTAGACATAGTGCTATATGTAGAGTGCATATGATTCGGGAATATGTACAATGATCGGCCCACTATAAGATCATTCGGGCCGACAAATCCGTGCCTCCTGCGGAGTATGGTGCCCCGGAAACCCCCCATTAAATGCATTATGGGGTTGGAGGAAGTGGAATACCCATTTCCCTCCTTCTTTCTCCTTTCCTTCCTCCACCAGACCCTAGTTTACTCGTTCACTGGACCACCGGTTTCAAATTTAGTATCCTACACTCAAGATGGCAGTACAGACAGGCCTCGACTATATGCGTTCGCGCACACTGATCGACTGTGATACCATGGACGACGAAGGTGAGCGGACTGGCCCTTCGACATAGAGATCTCGTTTTCAGATACCTGACTACTTCTTAGTTGCTAAAACCCTGGGACCATTCCAGGACTGCACTTCTAATCAAGTAAGCACATGAACATGCGACGCTAGGATATGAAGCCAACAGCACAGGCTATTGCACTCGGCGAGCTTTCTAAGCCAGAACGGGCTGAAGTCATTGCTGTCTCGCGGGCAGATGCGATGTCATTGCATCCAAAGTATTCATCCATTGGTGTCGAAGAGTTGGCTGCCGAGATTGCGGTGAGTTGTTGTTTCGATTATAGCATGGGTTTGATGAAAGTCAACTAATATTGATTAATAGATGGTTAGATTGGCTCTAGGAATGGCAAAACACATTCATGGACGTGCCCACGTACAGGTTAATCCTTACTATTCGTACTCTTCTGAGAAGATTGTCGTCAATGCACTCCGTTTGTTCCACTCCTATTGATATCGTTCTTGTTCAAACGTGCGCTAATCATATTGTTTTATAGGAATTGTGCAATTATTCCAGTATGTCCAGCCCGGCTTCGACGTCGATCGCATTTCTATCAAGATTCCGAGTACATGGGAAGGCATGATGGCCTGCCGCACGCTTGAATTAGCGGGTGTGCGTACTTTGGCAACCACTCTGTTTAGCATGACTCAAGCTGTACTCGCAGCTGAGGTCGGCTGTACTTATATCGCGCCCTACGTGAACGAACTGAAGGTGCATGTCCAAGCAGGGCAAGTACTCACTTAATTCTTCTTCGAAATCCTGCCTGACACTTTTCCAATGTTAGTTACGTGGACAATGCGAAATTGCTCCCGCTTTGCGCTGCCATTCAGAACTACTACAAGTCCATCAATTCGCCCACCAAAGTCCTCCCTGCTAGCTTGACTTCTGTCGAGGAGATTTTCTTCCTCGCTGGAGTGGATCACCTCACCATTGCACCAGCTCTGTTGACACAATTGACTCAGCCTTATGCAGGAAATGTCAAGTCGCTTATTGATATTGCGCCGACACTTCCAATCCCGACGCAGGGCGTCTCTTTCATCAACGACCCTGGAAGCTACCAGATCACATTTGCTCGAGACCTTGGTGGTGCTAGTCACATCAAGTTGACCGAGGTAAGTAGATACACTGATCGACTTTTAAGCTTCGCTGACAGAGACCAAGGCTATAAACATCTTCTGTGATGCCCAGGACAAGTTGGGGCTGCTCATGAAGGTAGCTGCATGAATTATGTAGCCCACAATTAAGACAACACTCATCTTATTTGAGCCGTATCTTAATAAATTGCATGGAATAGAAGGAAATGAAAGAAATCAACACCTAAAATGCCGTATACTTCTAGAGCACGTGACCCGACGTCATCTACCTTTCATCTGTGGATTTCTCCAATTCTCTTCGCGCACCTCTAATTGCATCTATTTACAACTTGCACAGAGCTGGTATTTCCAGCGACTATAACTGTTTATATTGGTATTCGATTATTGCATTGTTTTGCTCCCCAATCCTCTATCGCGAATACTTGAATTTGAATCGCACAGTTCGCCTGCAAGATGTTTCCCTCGCAGGCGGCTAATTTTAACATCGAGGCCCTTAGCGGCATCTGCGGGTAAGTTCGACAATTGAACTTCAATTTTTTTCTTCTTTGGTGTTTTCTCGTTAGCTGTCATGTTCATTTAATGCATGCGTATGCGACATCGGATCTAAATCTACTTGGCTTGGCGATCCCTGCATGTTTTGTTTTGCTTAATCCAATACTGACCAATCTAGATCGATTTCTATTTCCTGCTGGGTCGTCGTTTTCTCCCCTCAAATCATCGAGAACTTCCGACGTGGCTCCGCAGACGGCCTCTCTCTTATCTTCCTCATCATCTGGTTGGCTGGCGATGTGTTTAACATCCTCGGTGCCGTCCTACAGGGCGTGCTCCCTACCATGATCATCCTTGCGGTGTACTACACTTTAGCAGATATTGTCCTGCTGGGGCAATGCTTTTACTACAGGGGTTTCAACCTCAAGGAAGAGCTATCCCCCTCGGCCACACCGGACCTGTTTGCAACCAACGGGACTTCCGATGCGGAGCGCGATGGCGCCGACCATCAACCAGAACCAACAGAGACATCATCACTCATCCCGAAGCCCAGCCGCCAAGCTGTAAATGTAACTGGACAGCTACCCCAAGACCGCACGCGTCCACTCTCCTCTGGAAGACGGCAGTCGGCAACCTCCTACCATGATATCTTCCATTCATCGGTAGACGGCACCCATCTGTCACCCGCAACGCCCTTCATCGAACCAACAACCGATGCCGCGTGCCGCCATGCTCAACGCGCCCGTCGCCGCCGCATTTCCGCCCTCCAATCAATTCTTTTCAACCTCACCGCCGTCGCTCTAGTCTGTGCTGCAGGTGTGCTGGGCTGGTTCGTCAGCCCAGCAGCAAAGTCATCATCACCAGACCCGGAACCTCTTGCTATGGATGTTCTAGGTCAAGTGTTCGGCTATTTCTGTGCAGCTTTGTATCTTGGGTCACGCCTGCCCCAGCTTCTTTTGAACTACCGCCGCAAATCAACGGATGGTGTTTCCCTGCTGTTCTTCCTCTTTGCTTGCATCGGGAACTTGACTTACGTGCTCTCCATTCTAGCATACTCGCCTATTTGCCATGGCGGGTCTTCCGAGGAGATCATGGGGCACCGTCACCGTGCGCAGTGTCGTCCTGGTGAGGCAGCTGCACTGTATGGGCGGTATGTATTGGTGAACCTGTCGTGGTTGATCGGCAGTGCTGGCACGCTGCTGCTGGATATGGCAATCTTTACACAATTCTTCCTGTACCGTGATGACAAGGCTGATGAGGAGGAAGAGTAAATACTCGAAATTTAGATGTGATTTACTGCACGTACACCAATGTTTGAAATGATACTTCGGAGTGGATCTCCCCCTACTTGCCTCTGGTCTAGTTTTATCGTATTACCAGTACCTGTGCTTAATAATACCCCTGTTCTATAGTACGGAAACAATACTACATCCATTATACGTGAAGTAGAGGTCAAGATCTTAATGAGCCAGGTAGGTCGGGATAAGCCACGCAAGGTGTAATAACTTGGAGCAAAGAAACAAGTTCAATTCGCTGGTTATTTTGCCTGGATATGACACGTTACTCCCTAATGCGTTGAGGCCTGGCTGCTAACCATGATGTTCTGATCTGATATTCAATCGTTATATGTCCATCTTAGTACATGATTTCTCTCTTCTTCAAACATTGCACCAGAAACCCGGGGAGTTGCAAGGCCTATCAGGTCCAGTTATGATGCTGCGCTGAACACGCCGCCACTTGTACATGGATATATGGCAGCGAGACTTACCAGTACCAGCAAGCTCCGTGATCCTAGGCGCGGTTGATAATATTCCATCACTTTTGTTAAGGAAACACTGTCGGTCAATTAGCCTCGACGAAACCATATTACGGTTCGCCAAGGACCCCCTGATCTGCGAGGAGCCGGCCAAATTCGAACTAACCAAGTGATACATGCGGAACACACTTTTGCGCCTCGGGCACAGTGGGAGGTAAACTAGCGGTCAATTCTGATTTTCAGAAATCCTAATTTTCAGGCTGTGCTCGCTAGACGGGAGATGTTTGCCATGAAGCAGGGATTGCGCAGATGTTGGGTCGTTACAGCCATGAACTATCAGAGGTCGGCGACTTGAGCCTGAAACATTACAATAATCTTAGAGCATCCCATACTCATAGCGTCCCTTTGCACTTGAGGGGGGTATATTAGCTCAACGCGGCTGACGGGGAGGTAACTTTACCCCTGAGCCAACCATCCCTATCGTGATGCGGGTGTCTCGACCTGAGCAGACTAGCATAACCATACTAGCGCCGAACCATGGCTTGCGGGACCAAGGATCGGTAAAAAAAAACAGAAGTCGTTCGGGGGTGTAGGGGTTGGCGCCAATATAAGATTCACGGAGAACGAATAGAACTCAGGCGAAGTCCGAGCCCTAAGCGCCCATAGCCTATCATTTTAGCTTCGAGTTTCCTTTCTTGCAGCCCCCTAAGCTGACTTGTAAAACCAAGTTCATTCCTAGTGCTATTGACGATCCCATATCGCGATACTTGATCTATAAGATCCGTGGGGGCTTCCTAGCCAACAATATATCGGGAGTTTGCTGCTAAGTTGGGTTTCATTCTTTGCCTTGATTCCAGCCCAACTTTCCAGATGTCATTCCCGGGGAAGCCGGAATGTGTATATATACTCCAATTTGATCGCACCTTGGAGAGAATAGAATCATTCGGAGACCAACTCAACATACAAAGCAAACGTTAGCAAAACAACCATCCACGACAATCTTGTCACCCAAGACAAACTGTCGACTATTTTACTCAAACAACCGACCATCATGCCGTCCTCTACAAAAAGGATAGTGTATGCTGATACCACCGGAATGGGCAGCTGGTCCGAATTTCCGGACGGCGTCGAGGCTCATAAACTCGGGACATGCTCTGTCATGGCAATTGTCAACGAGGAAGGCTTTTTACTCTCTAACGCTTCCTCAGACGGGTTTAGGGAAATCCCTGCTGTACACAGTCTGTGTGACGTCTACGAAAAAAGCAAATGGATATTCGGCAACAAGGATGTGAATGTGTGGATTGTGTACGCTCAAGAGAACGCCAATAAAGGACAGGAGATTAAGTTCTTTATGCAGAGAGTCCGGCCTGCTCGGGTGTTTGAGCAGGTGTATAATGGGGAATCTTTCATGAAACCGCCTAGTGAAGAAGGTGCTCAAGTTTGCCTGAAGTTGGTGGGTGGGACTGCCGTGGCTACCTTGCGTCGGCAAGATGGAGGTGGGTGTCCTATTCGGCTTTCTGGGGATGGGACGACTGTGGTGTGTCCATAGAGGGTGGGAGCAGGGTCGGATGAGAATGGGCTTGGGGTTTGGATTCGAATATCTATTTGGTTGGTGTTTGGAAGGGAGTTTTAATATCGAAGTGATTGGAGTCTACGAATTGAACTACTTACTTTTCGAAACCAAGATTAATCAGGAAGTTTGGAAGTTTGGAAGCTAGTAAATTGAGACATATTTCACAACAAATAATTGTGATACCTGAGAAACACCTCGCTACATGCGGCTTAGCAATGAGAATGAGAATAATAGCAAGTGAAAAATCATTCAGGGTGAGCTTCCACCTTCCCCTTTGAAACCTCAGACCAATTCGTGCTCAGGGATGTTCCTTGGCTTTCGGTGTAGCTTTTGATCATAGCTCGACGCGTCTCCGGGTCAGCACCAGCATACAGCTTCTTAAAGAACCCGTCGACAGCATCGCCACCTTCGCCATCCGATTCCTCAGATACGTCTCCACCATCCCCTGTCTTGTCCTTTGGCTGCTTTCCAGTGAGCGAGGATGCGACTTTATCCCAGTCCTTGGTTCCGTGGCGTGACGAGGTTGGGTAAGAAGGGCCCGCAGTAGCTGGCGTCTGTTGAGCGGCTGGACGGTCGGTGATCTCAGTGGGGTTAGTGGCTAAACCTTCGAGAGCACTCCATTTCTGGCCAGCTGTCTTCTTTCGCAGAGTGAGTTCAATCTTGGTGCTCTTGACTGAGACCTTGGACTCGGCGGGATTGATAGCTGCATAAAGCGGGTCGAGAGTGAAGTCGTATTCAGATCCAGATGGGAGAGGGAATTGCAGCGAGACCTTTTGCAGAATTAATTTCGAATTTCGAATAAAAAAAAAAAAAAAAAAAAAAAAAAGAGTTGAGCACAAGAATACATACCAAAGCTTCTTCTATTTCAACTACGACATTTTCCTTTGGGATCCCCTTAACATAAAGAGTCACAACGACAGAATCCTGTGACTGATACCACTCATGGCGAACCTTCTCCTGGGCAGCAGGAGTAGATGTAGCACCGATGTTTGAGTTTTGAATTCTAGCAGCCAAAGCAGCCTCCGATGCAGATAGGGTAGAACCTCCTGATAGCTCAGGCTCGGGCTGCTGCGAGGCTCCGGTCACCTCCACGTTCTTGCCAGCCTTGAGGGCCTTCCACTGAGCCTTGACCTCCTCTCCAGTGGGAACGTTGGTAGAAGATGGGTACTCGGTGACAGATACAATGCGCTTCGAATCGTCCTTAGGCAACTCCGCCAGCTTGCGTTGAAGTTTAGCAGTCCAAATCGGCATCTGGGCACTGTAATTGTTTCTGGGACCTCCCCATCCGGATCCCGGTCCTCCCATGGCAGCCTGGACCTGCTCCGATTTGTTCTCTGGGGCTTTCTCGCTCTTGGTTTTCTTTGCAATGATGTCAAACACAAATTCTGCATCTCCATACCGCTCAAGTTGGTAGAGGGACACGGCGCGGCGCATCTGAGCAGAGAGGATCAATTCACGGTTTCCACGCTCTTTGGCGAGCTGGAGCGCGATTTCAGCATCGTTGAGTGCGGCCTGGTAGTTGGGTCCACCATCTGCGGGCTTGAGGCGCGAATAGGCAGTTGATCGCGAAATGTAGTATGCCGGAGCGCGGGGTAGCTCGCTCAAGGCGTGGGTGTAGTGCTCGATAGCAACGGGGTAGTTGGATTCGGCAGAGGCCTTGTCACCTTGGGATGCAGCATTCATGATGGTATCGGTGTCTAGCTCTGGTTTAGAAAAACTGTACGTGAGTGCCAGCGTGAAGGGAGCAATGAGCCGCATTGGCCCAAGCTCCTGTGGATCAATCATCGAGTCACGTGATATAGAGTCTGTGAGGGGAAGATGAGGGGAAAGAGAAGGAAAGAAAAAGGAAGAGAAGAGATTTTATACAAACGCAGTACAGCTACGCGTGTGCCTCAATTAAATCGCTGAATAGACCCCTTCATTATTAATTACATGTGCGGGAGAGATTATTTCCCTTATAGTTTACACGAGCTCAGCATTTCCAAACTTCTTACTATACAACCCCAAGGCACGGATAGGCCAGTAGAACTTGTAGTTAGGATACGAGATCATGCTAGAAGGAGGGTCAGTGAAAATCCAAAATAAGACCGGGACCAGTCCAAACTTACCAAGACTGGTTGAATACACCCTCAATCGCCTCCTGCAGCCACTCGCCATTCCGCTGCTGGCGAGACATCAATAGCCTAATGCCCCTCTCCAACGGTTCTTTGTGCGGGTAGTCCGCTTCCATAAGCGCAAGAAGAGACCAGGCAGTCTGACACACTTGGGACTTCTCATGCTGAGCATACTGATGGGTTGCGCAACTAAGGTATGACTCGCCCCAGCCACCATCGGCCTGCTGCTTCTCGATCAGGAAATCACAGCCCCGACGAGAGTCGGCGCTCGTTTCATATGTCTCACCGATACTGGCCAGACTTTCGAGGGCGAACAGCGCTGCGTAGGTGAAGCAAATACCCCAAGAGCCATACCAGCTACCGTCAGCGCGCTGTACGCGCTTGATGTGGACGACAGCCTTCTGTTTCGCGGCGCGGATTTCGTCCGCGCGATATTTGGGGTAGAATTTGCTGAAGAGTGACAGAGCCGTAACAGATGCCGTTGTGCACTCGGGGTGGTCATAGCTGATCATGATTCCGCCGAACACCTCTGCGGCATTGAGCCATTCGACTTTGGGTGAAGCGCGGGTAATTTCGTACTCGGAGAAGCCGCCGCTTGGGTTTTGCATGAGCAAAAGACAGTCGACAGCGTCCTTCAACCGTTGTTCGGAGATCAGCTTAGGGAAGCCATGCATCTCCTGCAGCTGAAGTGTTGACCGGAGACCCTCGGCGGTGCAATCGCTAACTGTGTAGCCCTGGTCCTTGGTGCTGAATGGCCAAGCGCCCTTACGGTGTTGACGATAGCATTTGTCCTGGTCTGGTACGTTCTCTCGTAATTGATGGTCGTCGAGGAACTCAAGAGCTTTGGTCAACATCGGCCGCCATTTGGGCTCGTCGGCGAAGCCAGCGACGACGATCGCCTGGGTGATGAATGCCGTGTCCCAAACTTGCACGCCATTAGTGCCATTTGCGAGCATACCCTCTCCCTTTATCCACATATAGTCGTTCAACCGCTCCCTATGTTGGCGGACAGAGTAACTGTCAGGGCCATCGTGGACAAAGCAAGCCACCATGTTCATTGGATTGTTGACGGGTCCCAGCCCCGCATATTTGGTGTTTTCGTCTTCCATGCGAATCAACTCCCAGGTCCATTCCTCAGCTCGCTTGACAATACTGGTGGGTCGAATGTAAGGATTCCAGACCCGAACCAGCACTTCATTGGCTGCATTCAACAGCCACGTCTTAGGGTAATAATTGTCTACCTCGTGGATTGAGTTGCGATGGGCAGCAAAATCCACAGAGCTATACGGCTGGGTGTATAGCTCTTCGCGCAGCTGTCTTGTCAAGTCGTCTAGAGGGTGAGACCATTTCTTAGACCACAGCCAAGACATTGGGAGGAACACCTGGCGCATATGAACCCACCACCGCCAAGGAGCGAAAGGAACCCAATCAGGAAGAAGCCTATATAGTCAGTTAATAAAGAGGAGCTGTAGCTGTTGCAATGATTGAACCAACCAAATCTCAGGGGGAACCGGGTTGACACCCTCCCATTCCATCACGCCCAGAATACTGAGCCAGAATTTAGCCCAATGAGGACCGTAGATGGCACCTCCAAGCTTATGCAGAAGGCCCCGGGCTTTAATCATGCGCGGGTCCTCTTCGCTGACACCGACCAGGCGCAGTGCCACATAATTCATACAAGTACCAAAGACGGAACTGTGAGCTTCGATGTGTAAACCCCATCCACCGTCCTCTGGGTGCTGCCGGGCAAACAGATAACGCTTGACCTCCGTTGCATACTCAGGGGGGATAGGGGTCTGGGTCACATAGTAAGTGATCAAGATACCTGGCAGCAAGAACATCGGGCCACCGTACTCGCATGCCCAGTTGCCGGGCTCCAGTTGCAGGTGCGAAAAGAATGAAAGCCCATTCTCGGCGGCTTTCAATGGCGTCTTGGCCTCTGGCAGCTCGGGGAGACCCTATAACGCCATTAGAATCGGATGAAAATTTTACATTTCTGGTCAATGGAGTGAGGTTTAAATACCGTTGGCATTCCCAAGTGATATTTCTCAGCTATTGACTGCGGCCATTCTTGGTTTTCCACATCAGATTCGAGATATCGCCATGTTTGACGGCCTTCATCATCGACCAATCGCCAGCGTGAGTAGTCGGTTTTAAGATCTCCATTGGCATCTGGGGTGAGATGACCCTCGGCTGGGGTTCTCCATGGTCCAATATGGGGAATAGAAGACATGATATGAGACAATGGGTTTTTTTCCCCTAGTAAAGACAGTAAACAGCTTGGAGAGTTATGTCGAGTGGAAACCGGGGAAGCTTAGTCATCAGTATCACACCTGCGGTGTAGAATGAAGAATGTTTGCATGTGATGCGAGGCAGACAAATTGACTGAAAAGGAGAAGAAGAAGAAAGAGAAAGAGAATGAATGTCAAGGATGTTCGGATCAAGATACAGCGGCCCCCGATCTAAGATGTGGCGTGGTGGGCGTGGTGTGGGCGTGGTATAGTCCGGCGTTTCCTCTCTATACGAGAACTCCAAACTTCAAGAGAATGAATACTCAATTAAATCAAAAGAAACTGTTCGGTGTATAGATATTTACAGAAATGAATTCTCTAACGAGAGGGAGAGGAAGGAATTATATTGTAACCAATTCCCGACCTCTATAGATGATCGAGTAGTATTAATCCAGATTTTGTTACTATCTAGGTCCATTTTGTATTTATCGTATTTACGTTTAAATAATGTATGTTATCGGATAGTGTCATGTAAGCTTATTGTGCCCATTGTGGTTCACGGGTAGTTATGGACTACTGTCTTGTCCTTCTCCAGCACGTCTTACCCAAATCCACTGGTCATGGCTGAGCTATCAACCATCCAAACTTTGGAAATAGATGACGGTCGAGATCCTTCAGTCCAAGAATTCATCAACAACACGCTCGCATCCATCATCCACGGACTCTCGCAGTCCCCGACAGAGGCCAACCTCTCCATCACCCTCAAGCGCAGAGCGAGCCCAATTGCTTGCATCATCAACCCCATCACCGGAGCTTTGGAAGCGAGCCCGAGAGCTGAGACACACAGGAAATACTCTTGGCCAGGAAAGACGGCACACGAGGCCTGGAAATTTAGTAAGCTCATTCCTCCTATAGTCCGAACACCACCTGGGCATTCTTCCCGGATGACAAACTGACCGAGTCTGCGCGTTCTGGTAGCCACCATCCTTCGAATCCTAGCTATATTGGACCAAGCTATTCGAACGGGCCAGCTAATCTCCAAGAGGTGAGCTGGCAATGTCCATGAATCAGCCTGGAAGGTATGCTGAACACATCCATACAATAACTAGAGACATATTCTATATCGACCCGGAATTCTTCCGCGTACAGAGTATCGTGGACCGCATTGTCGATGACCTGGCGTACACCATTGGAGTGAACAGAACGGCATTGAATGTGGTTCGTCCTGCCGAGTCATCTGGTATCGTAGCACTGCGAGGTTAGGTTGCTGACATTGTGTACGGCTTTCTAGGAAGCGGCAGCAAAAGGTCTGGTGACGGGAAACTTTCGGTTGATCCGTGGCTCGCATATTTTAATTGATGCACAGTCTGTCATCGAGGACAGTTTGATTCCTCGCTTAGAGGACGGAGACGAGATTGACATTTCACGGGTCCGCTGGGTACTGGTCATCGAGAAAGAGGTATGAAGCATGGAGAGACCAAACTTGGAGCATCAGTACGCTGAGTCCCTGTTCATAGGCAATCTTCCACCGACTCGCACGAATAAGTTACCACACCAGAGCACTAGCCGGAGACGGAATTATGGTCACAGTAAGCTGCGTTTCTGCTTTAGCCTTCCCGGCCTCCAAAAGGAGCAACTGAATTCAACAATACTCGAATAGGGCAAAGGATACCCCGATTTCATGACACGAACGTTCCTGCGCGCAATGTCCGACTCCGTGTCCAACCAGAGCAGACATCCACCCCGTTTCTATGCCCTCACCGATGGTGATCCCCATGGCATGGCCATCATGTCGACGTACAAGTACGGCTCGGCGGCACATTTGCACCAAAATGCTCGACTCAGTATACCGAGGCTGCAATGGCTTGGTCTTCGAGTGACAGATATCGTAGCAGTTCCGGAGGTACTTGGTGACACGGCTCTTCTTTCGTTGACCACGCGAGACCGCAAGAAGATCATGGCTATGCTTCGGAACAGTCCTGTCTGGGCGATCGATGGACCGGAGCCAGAATGGCGCGCTGAATTGCAGCGGATGCTGGTTTTGAATCTGAAGGCCGAGATTGAGATCTTGTATGGGTGCCAGGGAGGGTTGGAGGGGTGGATTAACCGGAGGATGTTTCGGCAGCAGTAAGATGCTTTAGGATCTGTTTATCTAGGAAGGTATAGATGAATAGATCACATGGAATAGATACAGGAACGATATCCCATAGTACTTGCCGCGATCTCCAATACTTCGGTAAAAGGTAAAAGAACGAGAGACATGAGAATATCGGAATGCTAGATGCCAGATTTAGTAAGTCATAGAAGACATGAAAACGCCCTATCGGAAGAATTGCATGTATTTCGTCCGCTATCATTATGTGAGGATAAGAATGCAACTGTACAGACCGAAAAGCCATCGCATATCCAAACTATGCAAAAAAAAAAGAACCCATGAACGCCAGTCATCAAATCTTGACCCCCGCGCCGCACAAGCAGACCATATTGACAGATATCCACCTGCACCGCAGCGAGAGAACCTCGGCATTCATCCACAACCTAGCCGGGCTCACAGACCCAGACCCTTCTTCACCTCATCCCTAACCTTCTGCTCATACTCAGATCTCCGCTCGCGCCACATCTTAGCAGCCTCAACATTGGCCGGACTCTCGTCATTTGGCTCAGCGAGCATACTCATAACAGAGATGAGGATTTTCTCGACGCTCTGGATGGGCGACCAGCGCTCTGAGGCGTGTTCGTAGTGGTTTGGGTCATCGCCGGGGGGATGAAGGATGGAGATGCAGACGGTTCCGTTGGGGTAGACTGTAAATCAATTCTATCAGTAAGATGTTTGCCATTTTGTATTGTGCAACGCAAGCAAGCAGCCAGGTGCAAGTCACTACTGGGTTGTCTCGGTCACGTACCGTTGGGGTGCCACACGCCACCTCCGATAAACTTCATTGTGGGCGGGCTGAGGGGGTAGTCTCTTGGGAACTTCAGCTCCGCTGCGAAGATGCCGCCCTCAAAGGGAGTTTCCTCTGGGCCCTGGATCAGGGCTTCCCAGTAAAACATGTCATCTTCGGAGACGGGGCCTGCGGTGATACCCTCTGGTGGGTTGGTGGAGAGGTTCTTGTATTCGTGGAAAAGGCGCTTCTGGGCGACGGAGGACGCCATTTTTGCTGTTTAATTAAATCAAACGCGAAATGCGATGGAAATACTGAGGTGGCAGGTTGTTTGCGGGGGCTTGGGGTGGGATGGGTGAGGATGGAATAATTCCGGGGCGGTGGACAAAGCGTGGCGGGGCCCTCAAGGAAACATGGATTCAAGGCAGAGATGGGAAAATGTCAAAGTGAACGGTGAGGTTTTTAATTTAAGGGCAAATATTACATCTAAATTGTGGATGTTATAGTACAGAAACTAGCCTTCTATCACCAGTCAAAATAATCACCCCCGTCACCCCCATCACCCCCGTCACCTCCTCCGTCACCCCACGGGTCATCTTTACCCCAAGGGTCTTGAGGTTCATCCTGGAAGCTTTGTAGGCCTGAGTCAGCCGGTTCCGATGCTGGGGCAGTTGAATCAGTTGTGTTGCCCCTATGCATTGCTTCATATCCAGCCATTGCACCGGCGGTGGTAGCGCCTCCAACCATACCATTTGGCATACCACCGGCGGTCCCAACTCGCTCAAGAGTCCCTTCAGCTACTCCACCAACGGCCCCGGCTTCACCAGCAGCACCGCCTCCTGCAGCGGGAGCCTGGCCACCCATAAACGGCACCGGAACGCCAAACATACCATGGCCGTGTTGACGGCTGAAGTAATCAAAATCAATGCTTACAGCTGTTGCCAGCATAACAGCACGTTGGTCAAGGGTCATGCCAAACCCTTTGTGGCTGGGTGATGTCTCTGTGCCAAGAGCAGCGGAATCCATTCGCATTGCGTAAACACCAGTGTCAGTGAAGATTTCGCGAGCAAAGCCTGCGAAATTTCGATTGACGGATCCAATTAACTGATTGCTTGCTGATTTCAGGGAGAAATCCCATGATAGGAAGGGCTCATCAACGTAGGCAAATTGGTTGAATTGACCCTGGTCTTGGTCGGATTTTCGCACCAGCTCCATCTGCTGTGCTCGTGATAAACCGGAGTCGGATAGCGAAACATCGTGGGTTCCCATATCTGTTTCCGGGTTTGGGGACTGGTGATGGGTGAAGAGATTGTACTTTCGCCGCAAAGGTGCCCACTGCTGTTGGGCTTCACCGATAACTCGCATTTGACCGAGACCAAGTGGGGATATCTTTGCACTTGATATGGTGCCAGGTTCAATAATAGAACCGGGTGTGGTGCTTTGAAGAGAGGTGGATGCCGAGGAAGCATTTGGTGTTTGCTCAAGAGGATCATAGACGTGGATTCGAGAGTTGATCCAAGAGAACGGACGATTGAACTGCAACGGTCAGCCAAATGGGGGTTCAAACCAAAATATAACCATGTCATGAGCTTACTCGAAGGACTTCATTTTCGTTTCGGTCAAATACATGTGTCACGAAACTTCGGTGGGTGTGCAACCATTGCCGTGCCATTGTATTTACCAAACCCTTATCTTGTTCTGCCATATATCCAATGTGGTTTCCAAGTGCATCCATGATGATATACTTATTCGCCTGTTCAAATCCACTGAGGGAGTCAGTACACATATTTCTCTAAAATAGGCACTTGCCCGGCACTCACATCAGAACATTCATCATCTCTAGTTGTCGCTGTACAACTATTCCCGAGTTCGCCAGTATCGAAATTGCCGGGTGGGTTTCTTTAAGCACACCTCTAGGATCTTCAGGCAGGTAAACAGGAGAAAGTAGTGTGTTTTGCGAAGGGTCGTAATTGGGATTCGTGGCATCTTGGGACTCGGGATCGGCAGGCTCATGCTGCTCCAAGGGTTCAGCTTTCCTCGAATTCGGTATGAGCTTAGGCCTTTTTATGCTATCGCGAGGACCGCGCGGAGATGCATGACTTCTGAAGCTTGAAAGAGCTCGAGTTCGAGGTGGTGTCCACTGCTTTTGCAGATATCGGAGCCTTAACCCCCACATGGTAATTGAGAAAGACCAGACTAGCCTAGAGACAAGTATCGAGGCAAAACGTTGGTGGAATGCGAAGTTGGTAAGTAGTCCGCACTCTACTGAGAAGCTCAGAGACTGATGACGGAGCCTTGGAGGTCGCGGAGATAATCGGAGATAGCAATGGCTATCAAATACTGAGATCAATTACTTGGTTGGAACAGGTATTATTACCCGGAAAATCATGTGACCAATGGTACTCGGGATACTATGCAAAAGTGGATATTACAGTTAGTCATCTATGTCCGCACAGATTGTTGAAAAAGCGGGTTTTGTCATTTTAGTTAGTCTTCAATATCTGCCATTTTTACCGCACCATTGATTTCTGTTAATGGCGACAGTTTTATAGATTGTTTGCTCTTACTTGGAATATACATTCTTAACTTTGATATCCAGCGTGTTTGGATGTAAAGGGCAGACCTATCAATTACTGTATCGGGTTAGCTTTGCCTTTTGGGGTTTAGTGCATACCTATCACGTACCTTCAATGCCGCCGATATAAAAGACCCATCTTCGCGGTATAAGTTTTCAGGTGTAAGGCCTGTCAGCCGGGTAAGACACAATGACTGGAGGAACAAGATGTATTGTCTGTGTGTGCCAAGACTAATTTTTGCAGTACTAAGAGGGATCCAGGGGAATCCTGAACTATGTATGAGAACCCGGCCATGCTCACGTGGGAGCCATGTTGTTACCAGCCAGTTCTTTTTAACAAAAAGAGTGTATTCAACTAAAACACAAAGTATAGAGAGGGAAAGAAAAGGAGAGGAAAGTAGGTATTGCGTGATATAATTTCACACGAAATGCAAATGCCGCGAGGATCATCCTCACACGCAGGCGATGAAGATGATAATGAAGATGAGGACGATGATTACCCAGAGGAACCGTCTCCACTGTTCAAAGGGGTCGACAGGGTTCTCCGAGAACGTGGCATTGATCCAGGACTCCGACAAATTGTTATTTCCTCAATGGAGGGAATCACGGATCCAAGCCACCGGTTTTCACTAAGAGTACATATCATAAACGCATTAGAAAGGGTTATGGTAAGCGGTTAACTAAAATAGATCACGAGAGATAAAACTGCTAGTGACATTTCTGTTAAGGAAATAGATTGCCTATGGGACTTTATAATTCCCTAAGAACTTCTCAGACGATATGACGACTTATTTCTAGAATTAACAGCCCTTATTCTGGTATTAAGATTAACTTATGCGGATGAATCCCCGCCTCAGATAAACCACGTAAAATTTAGCAGAGAGCAGAAGAGACTCTGGTTAAACTTATAAGAGCTCTATCTAAAAAATATAAAGATACTACATTAACCACTGGTTGAAAGGCGCTCCGATGCTTTCGGCCTTTATACCTAATTATCGAAGAAGCGTCTTAAATGGTCAAGTCATAAGCGCTAAATGGTATAATGCGTAATTTAAATGGGTTAAAAAAGTAATCCTTAGTGGGGATATTACACAGCTTCTACTGACTATGATATCGAGAGGATTAAATGAGTGTTTTAACACGGAATAGGTCTCGCTGTTTAAACGAATGATTTAAACCGGTCATCCTCACACGTATCTACGCACGTAGTACCGGATAGCTCCAGACATTTATAAGTATATAAGCGAAAGCTTTTATGATTCGAAATTAAAAACTCATTAATCGTACTTTAATAGACCGAAGGCAAAGGACTTCTCTACTAAGATGGCCGGCTGGCATGACTATGGGCGCGGAACTTCCTATTTCGTATCTGTTAATAAGCCTTCACTTTAGCGCTGCAAAGGCTTAACGTCTGTCCTTAATCCGGAATATGTCGATTTTATTTACGGGTTAGTTAGTCAAATGACTCGGAACGGAACTTCAGAGAACGACATCTTGATCCTTTCTATCTATGATGAAGAACGCCGTGCTCTCTCTTCTTTACTGCATGATAAGTTACGCCTAAGAGCAATCGAAATCAAAAACGTCGATGCCTCTCAGGGTAGCGAAAGTCCCTTTATAATCCTCTCAACGACTCGACCAGGGGGCCAAATGGGTATAGGATTTGTGAGAGACCGCAATCGACAGTGTGTTGCGCTAAGCCGAGCGCAAGATGGTCTCGTAATTGTAGGACACGAAAATGAAAATCTTGCGATCTCGGAGAAATAATGGGAGCATGTTCAATGATTAAACTGGAAAAAATGTTGTGGTTGCTTTCTTCACCACAAGGTTTTGTGTGGATATATACGCAGTTCGTCTCCATATACGAGGTAAGCTTCCCTAGTTTGAGCAAGTATACGCACGTCCAAAAAAGATTCATAGTAAACCTTTCGGAACAATCCGTTCAGCGGTACCAAGCCTCGCGACTTGACCTCACAACTCATCGGCAGCTAGATGCAGTTTTTATATGATAAAACAAAGATCATAGACCCATTCTTCACAAAAGACCCTTGCGAGCCAATTCGATTTTCCGCGCAGCTTCGCCTGCCTTAAACCCTCCCTTCGACACACAAACAGCACTTCCTTCTCCAAGTTCGACCTTCTCCTCGACACCAGGGTGAGGGCATGGGCAGTGGTGTGGGAAGTGCACACAAGCAAGAGTTCCGGGGCAAAGGTAGTTGTCGCATTGTGCTACGAGAGACCATGGTAGTTAGTTATGTGGTTCGGAGAGCAACGTGAACTTGCGACAGTATATTGTCGATCATAAAATATATTGAATCTCACCTCCACTCCACATCTGCTGGTACCGATCGCTGTCACTAGGAGCGTTCTGCGACCGTTGTTGTTGGCGCTGTTGCTGCTCGCCGCCTCCGAACATCTGGTCGAAGAAGTTGAATTGGGCCTGGGCAACAGACACGAGAAGGAAAAGAGCCCAAAGGGCTTGGCGCCAGCTCTGCAACATATTCTAAATAAACACACTGGTAGTAATTGTATGATCAGGTATTTGTATAGAAAGTAGAACAAGTTCAAGTGTTGTATAGATGAAGCCAGTTTACGGGTACACACGTGACGCCAAGCCTGATCTCCGAACGAAAAACTTCCCCTTTGGAGCTTCACGATCTACACCTCCAAACAATCCAATTACAACCCACCATGTTCAAGCCACGAGTGCTAACGCCCCTGCGGGCGCTGGAGCGAGCCTTCACCCCGACAATCCGGTCGACACCCACGCAATCGCAATCCCTCCTGCGCACCCTCTCCGCAACATCCACATTCCCAAAAACCACCCCAACACCCTCCCTCTCCCGCGCACTCCTCCCATTCACACAAGTGCGTCACGCCTCGCACGCCTCGCAAGGAACAGCCAATCAACATTCGCGTGATCCGGCCGGTAAGCGTCTCGGAGCCAAGCGCTCGGGCGGCGAGTACGTGGTAACGGGATGCATCATTTTCCGGCAGCGGGGCTCGCTATGGTTCCCCGGTGAGAACTGCGGAATGGGACGGGACCACACAATCTACGCAACACAGTCCGGCTACGTTCGCTACTACCTCGACCCGTTGAAGCACTCGAAGCGCCGGTATATTGGAGTTGTTTTCGACAAGGATGAGAAGCTTCCACACCCGCGCAATGCGCCCAGCCGGCGCAAGCTGAATATGACTCCTGTGCCTATGGCGGAAGGTGTCGAGGCTCAATCTGATCTCGTTGCTTCCGTTGATGAGAACGGTGTCCGTGTGACGGATGTCGAGGCTGTCAAGGCTGAGTCTGGCCCACAGCTGCGCCCCGGTTACATGTACCGTGAGGCTAATTGGGAGATTGGTCGGGCTGCTGAGAAGGCTGGCATCACTGCTATGCCACATGACCGTGGTAACCGTTGGCTGGCGTGGAGAAAGCGCCAGCAGAGAGCTGAGCGGGCTGCTCAGCTCAAGAGTTTGAAGGGCAAGAAGAAGGCCTCCAAGAAATGAGGGCATTTGCCGAGTGCATGATGTCTTGTTCCAATAAATTCTGGGATTCTGTAGCGATATGAGGATTTGTATCTGGTGTTCACTGTATTATAGAAAGAGCATTTACCCATCAAGCTTTCCACGTGTATTATTTCTTTTTTTCTTATTTCATTAGACAGATATTGGCACGTAATTGCCATGATCAAGCCCAAATTCCATGGCATCCCGACATAAAATATGCCTCCCATAGTTGGCGTTAACACAACCCAACAAAACCAAACAACAAGGCTATCTATTATCTAAATGTCAATTTAGAAAGAAATGTCTTCATTCATTGCACCCTTCTCCGTGTTCGACCTTGAATCTAAAACCAAGGCACTTAGGAATCCCTGATGATATCATCCGCGATCTTCTCAGCAAGCATATCTACGGCACAGTTAGCATTTAGTAACGCAGAGCAGTAACCGAGAGAAACCTACAGACCGTCGACTGAGGATGACCAGGAGGAAGGAAAGGAAAGGCGCTAGCATCAACCACGCGAAGTCCGTCTACTCCATAAACCCGGGCCTGGGAGTCTACCACAGCCATATCGTCACTGGAAGCCCCCATCTTGCAAGTACAACTCGGATGCCATATGGTCATCACATTATCCTTGACGAATTCGAGAATCTGATCATCAGACTGGACCTGTGGCCCGGGATTGTACTCCTCGCCGATGACCACGGGCTGCATGGCTTTACTCTGGAAAGCCTGGCGTATTCGCTTGAACATGGCAATGGAAACTTCCTGGTCAGCCTGATCATCGAGCCAATTGGGATTGATCACGGGTAGGTCTGAGGTATCAGCTGACTTCAAAGTGACATTTCCTCGGGACATAGGTGTAATCAGAACACCGAGTATCGAAGCGTACTGGTATCCATCTTTTGGTTGGATTGTCAGGAGATTTGACGCGTTGCCGACATACCCTGCGCCAGAGATGTACTACAAATCTGCCTTTTAGCAAGATTTCTCTGTATCTGAGAGAATATCTCTCCCACCTCTGCTTCGGGCCAGTCGGATGGGAATTTGGCCAGTTCAATCTGCGTTTTCTGAGAGAAAGCCCAGCGCAAGAACCGCGGAATCTTCTCCCAGGCTAGGAAATCTGCGATTGGACTTGTCAAGAATCCATTTTTGTTGAGTAGGCCTTCGACAATTTGGTCAGCGGCGTATAGCAGGTTAGTAGCAAATTCAGTGAATGTTGTCACCCGCACTCGGTATGAAGGAGCAAAGAACGTGTGATCCCACATATTCTGACCGACCCCTGGTCGGCAGGCTATAATATCAATCCCATGCTCTTTCAATTCGTCGACAGGGCCAATGCCGGACACCATAAGGAGCTGAGGGGAATGGAAGGCACCGGCAGAGAGAATCACCTCTTCCGATGCCGAAAGGGTGATAGTATTGCCCAGCGGACCTTTCACTTGAACTCCTATTGCTTTCTTCTTTTCATCAAAAACTACCTTTTTGGCAAGAGTGTTTTCGTAAGTCGTTAGTGAGTCCGGCGTGATCTTGGATAGGAAAGATTCCTCGGAGCTGCTTCGGAGCTCGTTGGATGGGTTGATGGTCGATGCGCAATACTGAGCTCCCATTATAGTACCCAGGTTAAAGTCCTCTACATGATGGATGCCAATAGCTTCCATGCCGAGACTCATCCATGACGAGAAAGGCTCGGCGAAGTTAGCATATGACACCTGCAACGGGCCACCGTCCGAGTTGTAGGCATCGTAATCGTAGTCAGCGGAGGCATTTTGAGCTCTATAGTCGGTGTTTGGAGGCGTGAACTGGACGCTCTTCTTATAAAACGGGAGCACTTCGTCGAATCTGTAACTGCTGTCATTGACTGTAGTTGCCCATAGTTCCATAGACTCGCGTGTAGGACTGTATTATCCCGGTTAGTCCAGCCGCAAGAATTCGGTCTCCAAGGGTCATTACCGTTGATAGATCATATAATTCAACGCCGACCCGCAGAGAAATCAGTTTTAATCTGTTATGCCAAATTCGGAAACGGGTACCTACGATCCCCCAAGACATTTTCCTCGGGCGAAATGAATTGCCCGCCTATTAACACCCGGCTGATCTCTTGTTACAAAGCCCCAATCGTCCGGTGAGCTAGAGGCTGGATCTGATCCCGTAGGCAAAACATCAGCTGGAGGAAATTCAGCCAGAGACTCAAGCTCATAGTGTCCTCCGGCTTCGATCAAGGCAACATCGAAATGGTTCTCTGCTAATCGCGTCGCGATCACGCTTCCAGCAGTACCGCCACCAACAACTACATAATCGAATGTTTCGTTTGCGAGGGGAATTGCTCGTCGTTTTAAAGGCACAGATACCACGCTACTCGCCTGAAGTGCGAGCAGTACGAAAGTGGTCTGGAACAGCATGAGGAATAACGGTGCAACCGCTAGGGGCTTGAGACGAGATGTGGCCGTATGCTGCAGCGAAGCACAGCCAATATGTACAACCCTCAACCGGACTATTGCAACTGTTGCACTGAAGTAGGCTCACCTCTGAAGGCCTCCTATTCTTGAGATATATAGTATATTCGGGTCTCATTATATCGAGGTACCTGGCCCAATGCACGACCCAACCACAGGTACCTAGGTATGTAATCTTGGAAGTGCAGCTGGTTCAAAAATAAGCATGACCGCGGCCCGCGAGCCCTACCCATGGATGAGTTTGGACGAACTTTGTCTTGGTCGGCTTAATTTCAACGTTACATTACGTGTGTACATGAATCATAGAGAATAAAATATTCCCCCCGAGGATGTTATATTCTAAGCCAGGCTGCCTGCTTTTGGCGCGTGACAACGAGCTGTACCATGCGTAAATCATCCCTGAATGATCTACTGCGGTCACTGGTATGTTCTAATGAGAGCTAATCTGTGTCACAACATACAAGACTCTAGACAGTTGGTAGTCTCGTTCTTCTGGATTAACCGATATAGTTAGCATCTTGCCAGAGGTAAGAGAGTTGTGAAACTATAATTTATGGATAAAAATTATCTGGAAATCCGGCAAATCTTGCTGTCCATTTCTGTTCCAATCGCGAAGTATACTAACCATGCGAAATGTCCGTGCGCAAGTTAACTCTAACTCCGGCCCCTGATTATACGACTTGGTGGGAACAACGATCACTTGAATTTGTATAGACTTCTGTGGCTAAATATCATTTTCGTTTCCCTCGTTCGCATTTGTGAAGCCTGCACTGAATATTAGAGGCCATACTTGACTCTACTAGACGTAGACATCTTGTTACAAAGAGCATCGCAAAGCGGGAGAAAAGATATCATGAAGAACCCGTTGCACAACCCGTTGCCTGCTTCGCTATCCAGTATTATCCCCCGTGCTACCACATATGGCTGACTCACGGCTGACCACGTCTCACAGGCGAGTGCAAAAAGGCCGCCGCGATTCTCGAATCCTTCCTCAACCCGAAACTCAAAATCGATGGAGAAATCCCACGTAAGATATTCGTGGGAGCGAAGGTAGGAGTTGCCCCACTAGGAAACAGCCCAACGGACCACGACTCACTCTGTGGCAGGGCATCGCCGTATTCACCGCGCTCAGAGTTGGATTCCTGGGCTCTATCCGCTTTGGCTCGGGACTGATTGTCGCCCGTCTCCCAGATGGCAGCTGGTCCGCCCCGTCAGCCATGGCAATGGGCGGCCTCGGTGCCGGTGGTCAATTTGGCGCAGAATTGACGGACTTCGTGTTCGTCCTGGCTACCGATGCCGCAGTGAAGACTTTTATGCAGTCGGGAAACTTAACTCTGGGTGGGAATATATCCATGGCTGTTGGGCCCATTGGTCGGAGTGCCGAGGCTGGAGGAGTAGTGGGCACGAAGGGCGGAACTGGGGTATTCGCCTACTCCAAGACTCGTGGATTGTACGGCGGTCTTACAGTCGAGGGTGGTGTTCTTGCCGAACGTGCGGATGCAAACAAAAAGCTTTATGGGCGGAAGGTTCGAGCAAAGGAGCTACTGAGTGGATTGATTCCACCACCACCTGAAGCGGGAGTCCTCATCAAGGTTCTGAATGGGGACTACTTCCGTATCGAAGGACCCCCGGAGCCAGCCGCAGAGGACGCCGCGCGCGAGCAAAATCCTGAGGCTTCTGCTACACCCCATGAGCAACAACCACAGGAAATTGTGGCGGCTGCTACTGATCAGTCAATAGCTGTCAGGCCAAACGCAGAGCAGGCACCTAGAACTGCAGAACTAAGCCCAGAGGGTCCCGAGCAGTCGCGCGAACAAAATCCCAAGCCTTCTGCGCAGCCCCCTGACGGAAAATCACAGGGAATTGTGGCGCCTGCTCCTAATCAGTCAGCAGTCGTTGAGCTAAGCGCAGGGAAGACGCCTGGAACTGCAGAATCATCCACCATAGAATCCCACGGTCTATACCATGAACGAGACGTCCAGGAGACAACGTCAGCTGCCAAAAGTGAATCAACTACAGAGTCAGCTACCGAGAAAGAAGCCGATACACATACGTCAGATGTGCAAGAGCCTCTGGCTACTACCGAGAATAAAGGTAAAGAACCGGCAACTGGAGAAATGCACGATACCTCTGGTGAGCCAGGTATCCTGGGGCCTTTCCCCGCTACTGAGAGGCTATCGGACAGCATAGAGCCTGCCTCCAGTGGGACTCGCTGAGCGTTTTGTTGGAATAATGTGTATTTATTTCCTTCAACAATATGTAGATATCTAAATTAGATTCCTGACTATTATTGTGCATAGATCACCCCCCCCCCTTTTGATGGGCTTCCATCTACTCGGACTAAGCGGTTTCCTGATCTCCAAGTCAACTGCCATCTCCAGCTCTAAGTTGGCTCGTTGGGGGGTTCATCCACACAGTTAGCCGTGCATGAGTATGACACTAGCTAACAGCGTCTATGTTTTGAATAGATCCATTAAGAATAAAGATGATAAATGACATTGGTATCAAAAATTAGGACAGGAAATTACTCCTCAAACAACCGACCTAAAATCAAACTCTGACAAACAAACTCATTACCAACAACCCTCGCAGTACATTGCAGCTCATTAGGGGGCGTAGGAGTAGACGATGCAATCGACTTCCTACGCTTCTTCCCATGGAACAAGTGAATTCTCTGCGTCTTCGGTTTGGGCGTCAACATCGACTTTGCAGCAGCTTGATCTGCGTCGTCAACATAGATCCAGTCCCAGTTAGCCGACAGACCGGCGTCAGGCTGCGAGTCTATCAATGCCCTGGCCGTGCCGAGATCAGGGACACGCTCAACCCGGGAGGCCCCCAGGGCGTAAGTCAGGAAGATGTAGGCCTTTCTCTTTTCCTCTACCTTTCCACGTCCCATGACAAGGAGCACCGATTGCCCTGCGAGTAGTTTTGTGCGTGCGGAGATGGTTTCGGCGAGCCGGGCTGTGGATGGAGGGTTAGGAGCCATGACTCTGGATTTTGTCGCTCCGTTGAGGTACATTGAGTCGCCGGCTGGGAGGAGGTAGATATCCCAGTCGAGGACACGACCTTGGGAGATACAGTCCTCTACCCACCGGCCGGCCAAGCATGGAAGGTTCAATGCCAGTGCCTGCATGTATTTTTCTCGCCGAGAATGGGTATCGGCAATTAAACAGGCAAAGCCAACGTCCTCAGCAAGAGCAGTAAGACGGAGACCCTTGTTATTGAGGTCTGCGTCCTTGGTTCCACCTTTGATGGGAGTATCAACAGGAACAATTGACGAAGCCTCGAACAATTCAGTAAATCCATCATGTAACAGAGTGCCGCCATTTTCGATGATCAGCCTAGTCACACTATTTTTAGACGCTTCGTCCTCTTTGTAGGAGACTGCGAATATCATTCCAGCGAAGATGCCGCTGCCTTGCTGAATGCTGCGGGACAAGCGAGAACTGGGAGAAGCAGGCGCGGATGACCTTTCGGATGGGGTATGGACCATGCTTTCTTGTTGAACAGGCGCCGGGCGATGTGTGAACGCCCGATCTTTGAGTTGATTCCACAGGATAGTATCAAGATAGACACGAGCAATTGGTACCTTAATCACATTCTCGCTGTTGCCAATTCCTCCATTTGGCAGGCTTTTGCGTTGCTTGGGACCGACTATGACAGTTGTGTGACCGTAAATGTCAGTTATAGGATGAAGGCCATCATCAGCGGCTTTTGCCAGCTCTTCTCTACTGAGCTTGTCACCGAACCCGCGGACGACATGAGTGACCTTTGGAACATTATGCATATCAATTTTGACAGCGTCTCCGACACGAAGCTCGAATCTCTTAACGGCACCCTTCGGCACCTCGACAGGAAGACTGTCCTCAAATTTCACAGAATATTTAGTCTGCGATACACCCAGTGGTGTTCCAAAGCATGTTCCTGGGTAGTATGCCCGTTTCTGGCCCATCCAGACAGAAAGTACCTGGCTTGGAGCAACCAGGGCGTTTTCCGACAAATTGTGAGATGGTCGGGGTGTCGTAGGAAATTCATTGACACTATACGCTTCCGACTCAATAACATCATCCGAGGCAATTGTTGATGAGACCTCAGTGGGTTCCGATGATGGAGGTGGTGGTCGATTATGAACGACAACCTTTGGTGGAGGTGCTATTTTCGCAGCAAGTCCGGAGCTCTTTTCTGGAACATGCTTCTCTTGCGTAGAAAGCGAAGTAACCATCTTGCCAATTCTTGATCTCCGGCGGAAGGGCCGTTCAGGTGATCCCTCGATTTCCCAAACATTCTTGGGTGCTCGTCGCGCAGGCTTTGATTGCCTTCGCACGGCTTTCTCGGGGACTAGCACCAAAGGCACATCATCATCCGACTCTGTGGGAATAGGAGCTGATCGTTCTTGTGTTGCTCGAATGGGTGCAACGGATTTTGGGGGCTGTATGCGAGGGGTGAGAGGTACGATAGGGTCGGAGGCAATGTAACTCGAGCCATTATTGCCACGCCTCTTCTTCTTCGGTCGAGTCGGTGATCCGTCGATCAAGGCTCTGAACTCTTGATCTTCGGTGGTAAAGACCCCAATTCCCAGATCAAATCCTCCTGCCCCGACCTGCGGCGAAAGATCTGCTGCAATTTCAGTCAGAGCCCGACGCTGGCCTCCCCCGGACTGGACAGCAATTTTTTGAGAGGAGAAGAGAGTGCCCTTGCCCCAGCTGGGCGGATATGATTCTTTCGAATACTGGGGATTTCATTGAACATGGGTGGAAGATCATCGTCTTCGTTGTTCAGCCCATCGCCATTGGACCCAGTCTCGGAAGGGTATTGGGGGTGATTGGGACTTGTTTCTGGGATACTCGTCAATCGAGCCATATCACCAAGAAGCCTTAGACGCTCATCCATAGGTGTCTCAGCCACACGGGATGGCATCGATGATGAGTTTCCCGCAGTTCCCGGTTCCACTCTGGAATGAGATGAGTTTACATGTTGCTGCTCTGAGGGGTTGCTAGAGTGTGTTGGTATATTCTCGTTCAAGGGTGCATTCTGAACGGGTTGAACAGCATGTTCGTGTGATACTGAGCCATTTCTTTGGGTATTGTTGTTCGAATGTCTTGAGTGTGGTCGTGAGCAGGGAGAGGACTGTAGACGCTCTCGTGCGGGCGAAGGCGACCGATCAACAACGTTCCTAGCATTGTCGGCTTCTGTGCGTTTTGGTGATGAATGAGGTGATGGCTGAGAGTCTTTTACCATCACCTGGGAAGAACGCACAACACCGTTCAACTGGGCACCATTGTGGGAGCCGAAGGTGCCTTGATGAGCTATCTCATCCTCCAGTTCCCCGTTGACTCCCACACGGGATGGGGATGGAATCGGCTCAAACCCAAGTACCTGAGATAGTCGGCTGTGGGCACTAGCGGCGGCAGCGGCATCCAGAGGAGGTCCGTCGTAGTTCTCTTTGTCTTCTTCGGCTGAAGATTGAGGAAGGTCATGCGATCGAGGTACTTGCATTTCTTCTTCTTGCTCGGTTTCTTCCTCGCTGGCAACAGCTTCTATCATTTCCTCGTCTTCTTCTGGTTCCAGTAACTGCTTAGGAGAGCTCTGTGGTCTGGAAGATAGATTGGATGTAGATCTGGCAGGAGCACTCAGCCCAGCGAACTGAGCCGCAGCTTCCTCGTCGATTTCTCGCTGTCGTCGTGCACGTTCTATAAAGCTCGACTCTTTGTAGAATTCCTTATCACTCTGGTCCGACTGGATATTATCGGCCGAACGAGTCAACCTTTCCCCCAAAGTCCTGTCGCGCTTTGTCTGCGATTCCTTCATGGATATATAGTTCATGTTGGGTTCCGATGATTCTCTCATGAACTGAACCGGCAGGCCCATCAACGGTGACGAGATACCATTGACAACGCGCGCGGGTTGAATGGGGATATTGGGTGACGGACGATCCGATACAAGCTCTGTTGGCAGGCCGTGGACAATGGGAGATGACGGAACCTGGGTAGCCCCAAAAACCTGGCTCAGGCCAAGAAGACCCCCACTTGACTCTATGCCACTAGCCAGCGGATTCCGCGAGATGCTCGGGGTCTCTGCTGTCGTACCCTTTATGTCATTATTTTTCACCACCGTTCCGGGTGTTTCTGCTAGAAACCGTTGCGATTCGGGGAAGAGATCGGGTGCGTAGGCCATTGGAGAAGACTCGTTCTGATCGAATGTGCTCTCGTCGTCGTTATCATAGTCGTCTTGGGAGACGTTCGTTCCGTGGTGGGCGGCGTCCAATTCGGAGAGAAGGTCGATGTGGCCGCTGTCGCCCTCATATAATGTTCTCAATGTTGCTCCATCAGCTCCTGTTTGTGAATAACTTTGTTGCATGGACTCCCCATTCTGTCTAATAATGATGTCGTACACTGACTGCGAGACGACCTGAGTATCCCCAGGAGCAGGCTCTGCGGAGCTCATGTTCCCGAATTGCGAGCCCGGCACAATGCCCGCTTCATTTCCACTCTTATTAGACATCATTGAGCGTGGCTCATGCTGCCGAGGTCGAGACGGGGAGGGCTGATGTTGGTGCACAAGGCTCGTGGGGTTCGATGGTGTTTTCTGAGGTAGGTGTTGGTCGTTGCACGCTCCGTCACCATTGGAAGCACCGTTGACTTTGTGGTATGTGTAACGAAGAGTGTGATTCGGCTCGTTACCAGTTTTTGCGGACCCCGAAAGGTACGGGTGAGATGGATCGTGCTCCTGGGGATGTCGGAGTTAGTCCAATGAGGGCGAGGCACACTGCAGGGTGGTTACATACTAGCCCCAACGCGTCACGTTGCAACTTTGCAAGGTCGATGCTATCGTCTTGGGTTTCCATTTTTGGACCACATACATTCACTGATAGTCTAGCAAATCTTGCTAGCAGCAGTAATATCTGCAATGTTAGTTTTAATGCAGTTTGATACTTCAACCGCCTTTTGTCGAGAGATAAATTGAGATGGAGGCGTCGGAACGCGAAACGCGTCCATCACGTGATCGATAAAGTAATATTACTTCTTACGGCCTAGCTCCATTAGAGTAAACACACTCAGCGGCGTTATACAGCATCAGTGGGATTACGGTCGTTTCTATTATTTATACATATATTAACCAGTTTACTGTTTGGTTTGGAAAGAAGCTGAGAAATGAGGCACTGATTTCATGGGTCATTATGCAATGATAATACATATGTACAGTTTTACAAGACAATGCAACATAATTACAGAGAGGGTATCTGAAGCCCTTAATATTCCCCTTCTTGAGGGGACACAAGAAGAAACCAATATAATCAATCACGAGTGCGGTTCGGAATCCATCTCTTTATGAGGAACTCGCGGACCTTGTATTGGCCAAATAGTGCCCCAATATCATCAACTGAAGGGGCTGGCGGAGGCACTTCGACATAGCAGACGACCAAGCTCTTCAGCACCTGCGCCTGCACACGGCTGACACAGTGCATCCACCACCAGCTCCTCGCCTGCTTCTCTGCTGTGTAGTTCTTCCGTTCTTCTGTCTCGGACCAATAAGGATGGCTGTAGGAAGGAATGATGATGACTGCGAACTCGGCGTGGGAGAAGACCGGTCCACGGTTATAGAGCAGGTAATCGGTTCCGAATTTAACACCGGAGCGGATAACCCAGCCGAGGGACCGAAAGTGATGGTAGACGGTATAGGAGATCATGAAGGGATCATCTGGTTGGAGAGATGCGGAGCTATCACGGGCAGGTTGGAAGGAGTGGTTGCAGAACTGTTGAAGGAGGGCAGAGGTGGTGCTTGGCGAGGTCGCTTGGACCTCTCCGGATTTCAAGGGTGCATCGTAGATTTGCAATGCTCCAAGCGAGTAGGCAAGGAAGAATGCCTCTTCGTTGGATAGTTGAAGATGCTCCTCATTTGGAAAATCATCTACATCGAGGCTGTCGACGACGGAATCAGGCAATTGTAGTGACGAGGGCGAGTTGGATAGGAATTCTTTCTTTTGTACAACTGGTGAAAAGCGCACAGATTTGCCGTTAGAGGTCTCGGTTTGATTTTGTTCGCCGAGAGCGGCATTTTGTGCAGCCAATTCTCGCGCCTGCCGTGCCTCCAGCGCCCGAGCTTCTCTTGCTTTCTTCAAGGAGAACTTCTCCGTTGCAGTCGCTGTGACATTAGTCGTATCGTCTGTGGTTGACTGAGCATCTTGGTCAAGAGACTCAGAAGCACCGGATTCTCTAGCAGCCGCCTCGGCTTTGAGTCTTTCCTCGATGGCCAGCTTTTCCATCCGGGCACGCTCTAGCTTCAGTTCACGACGTTCAGTCCGTCGCAGTCTTGTAATCTCCTCACTGGTCTTGCCATCATGTAACCCTCTTCGTTTTTTCTCTCGCGCCAGCCAGCTGGGTTCACTTCGACTTAAACTACCCTTGCCGAAGAATCCCATCTGCCATAAAGCCTTAATGGATCTCTCGTCCGTAACATGGATCGACGAGGTGGCCTTGTCAAAGTAGGCCGAATAGACTTCTTGACGGGGCGGGGAGATAAGGAAGGTAAGGTACGAGAGAGCGACGCTTATAAGAGAAAGAGGGTTATGAGGAATTACAGGAGGAACGTGATGTACATTGACCGGAAGAGGAAACTGGTGAATCTGTCTGAAGTTTGGCCTAGGAGGTCGAGGGGCACGAGGCGGACGCGCATCTGATACAGGCCCTGACTTGGCCACCACGGCCTTGTCCATGCCGGTTACTGGAGTGGCCATCCTGGGAACCACTACTGGATGAACAAAATATTCAATGTCCTAAACACAAAATTCGAGGTTAGCGAACTGTGCTGAAACATGCGAATGAAATAATCGTCATGGTAATATCTTCTCAGATACCGTTGTAGTCAATTCAGCGGATCATCGACAGGCAACTAGAAATCAAAGTGTCGCCTGCCTGAGCTAAATAAATGGTGTCATCACCGAAGGTGAAGGATGGGCTGAAGGGGAGAGTGTAGAAAAAGCTGAGGAGCATCTTACCTAGAAGTATCTGTGTGGATGAACAACCTGAATCAAGTGTCAATTAGTGAAGCCACCCATGGCTCTGCACATTAACAGAGCTCGAAGGTCATTTAAAAGAGATTATTTTCTCTTCGCTGGTCAAGTGCGAGAGAAAAAGGAAATTTTGCGGTCGAAAGCTCCGTTTAAAAAGCACTCCGTGACTAAGCAATATGGTCCGAGCTCTTCCTCGTCGAGAAAAAATTCCTCCACTTATCGCCGACGCAAGTACTAACACAGGACTATTCATCAAATACCGTCAAGTGAGTTTCTAATTCGTGTTCCAAGTGGTCTATTGTTCATGTGCTAATATTGCTATCTCCAGAATGCATCTTATGGTATGTTTTATTGCGACGTCGAAGCGAGCGAATCTTCAGCTCCGTTCGGAGATCAGTCACTAATTTTTTAACGAACAGTACACCCTCACCGCCGATGGCAAGCGTGCCTACACCTTGAAGAAGGTACGGAAATCTTTGCGCTGGGGAGACTGCCGCTTTTTAGCGAACATGCGGCTCCTCGAATCACAATTTCAACTTTGGACAATGATGCTAATTTTTGGCAACTATAGGTCATTAACGGCGAGGTCACCAAGTCCGCTCACCCCGCTCGCTTCTCCCCCGATGACAAGTACTCTCGGTAAGTAGCACTTTCCTTATACATGACGCACAATGGAAGAATTGGACACTGACCTCTTTCCCAGTCACCGTGTCACCCTGAAGAAGCGTTACAACCTTCTCCTCACCCAGCAGACCGGTATGTCGAACCTCTTTTTCCAGAAGCCTACTCTCTCAGAAGTACAAGAAACTGACATTTATCGTTCAGAGGCCCCTGTTAAGGCTTGAATGGATCAACACTGGGAAAAATGAATTACCGGGTGGCATAGCCCATGTTTTGGCGAATGGTGTTTTTCTTGCGGTCAACGGATGGCTGAGATGTCCATACATACTTGTTTTGCTATCCTCGGATAATCTATTCGGGGCTTCACCTAGAAATTCTGGAGAATACGATACCTGATCTAGGTAATCAACAAGGATTTTGTTAAATGTTCATAAAGAGCCCTATGGATTGGCTATATTCTATGTTCAACCGTAAATCACAAGACAAGACATGGTCATTCCTCATAAAAAGGTCGACAACCACCATGACAGCGGTATTGACCAAGTGAACTTTTTTCTTTCCATGCCCCAAAACTCCGGCCCATGTAATCAAGATGCAAAGTCATCCACATAGCACATTTAGGAGCGCTTCTTCGAGTTGACATTGCGGCCAGCACCGACCTTGGTACGACCGCCAGCCCTGTTGCGTTCGCCGGTCAAGATACCAGGCAGGTAATCTTGGTCCATGAGATCACGCTCACGACGCTGTCGTCGCTCTTCTTCTTGGTTGGCGCGGACATACTCCTTCTGATCTTCGGCAAGCACGAGCTCGGTACCCCATCCGCGCTGGCCACCGCCGCCCTTCCACTTGCCGTTCGAGCTGCCTGCAATCGGCTTGGGAACGCTGTATACATTGCCGCGTTTGTTCCACTGCATGTTCTTCTTCAGGTGCATTGTGAATGCGCCGTTGGCAGTAGTCGTGCATGAGACACGAGTGAGAGTATCCTTGCCACAACGAGGGCAGAACTGCTTGTTCATCTCTTTGGTGGTCAAGAAGCAAGCGTGGCAGCGCTTGATGAAGGTTCTAAGATGCTGGATCTTCTGGAGGGTGGTGGTAGACAGAAGGTTGAGGTTCATTTGGAGGAGAACGTTTTGACACTATACGGAATCAGCAATGGGTCGATATACAGACGTTGTGTGGAGTGTACTTACCGCAAAATCAGTGGTCATAGTCGCAACCTGCATTGTCTTGGGTGCAGCAGTAAGAGTCGCGGTCCCAGATTCATCATCGGCAAGACGCTTCTTATAGTTAGAGGGTGTGATCCATTCTCCGTCGTCAGAGTCACCGGCATCATCCTCTGCATCCTGATCTTCGTCCTTCTCTTCTTCCTCGGCAACCGCAACAGCAACCTCAGCGATTTCGTCGGCCTCGTTGGTTTCAGTAGTATCTTCCTCCTTTGGAGACTCCTCCTGGGCATCTGAGACTGTGGTCTCCTTCACTCCCTCTGTAATGGCTTCCACCTCCGCATCCTCAAGCTTGGTCTCCTCAGACTCCTGCTTCACAGGCGGTTTTCCATTGATTTGCTTCTGTCCAGGGACGCTTCTTAACCGCCAATCTCCTTCGTTTTTTTCACACTCAATTTCATAGGCAAGAGCGAGGACCTCAATATCGGTTCTACTCAGGACAGAACGGTCACCGGTCTTGCGAGCGAATTCGCTAATGATATTGAAGCTCTTGGGTGTGGGGGATCGCTGCTTCAAGAAAGGCAAGTAGAGGGTCTCGACACGTGCGCGGGCATCGGGATCGCGGATCTCGGCCACGACCGAGGGGGTGGTGATAATTTCGTCGCACTGGGCAAGGAGGGTTGAAAGCGGCGGGGTATTCTTAAGAATCGGGCCAGCGTCCAGTACGATTGTGTGGACGGGCTTGGTGGATGCGGCAGTAGTGTCTGCCATGTTGTCCTATATATTAGGACTATTCCCACTGATCGACAATGAGAAAAGACAAGATCGTTGGCGACTTGAAAGAATTGATTGAGTTGTGGAAAGGAAATTTCTCTGTGAACAGTGGCCTGTGCGTCCTTATCGGACTATCTTATCGACTATCCAAATCTACTACAATTCCAGCACCTTCGTCTTTTTACATGCAATTGGACATCAGAAGGCTTTCATTGTACCTTTATTTGCTTGTTGTCTGATAATCACATTATTGTATCCAACACTATATACCATACTGAAGACAGGTTGGTCAAACTAGAGACCATGACCCTGAGGTTGTCAATATATTCCACAACACTTGGATGTTCTTACACCCATCCCAAGTTATACTTGGGAAAAGTCGTCTTCGCAAATTAAGGCACTTACCGCTTTTTATCCCCTATCTAACTACATATAAGACCGAGAGAGGGGGAAAATATCTTGTAAAAAAGACATCACATGGCCGCTTAAGCGGGTCAACTGTCGAACGAGGGAATTTTATCCCCATAGCGGAGGTTAATCTCTAGGAACAGATCCTTCTGGGCCTTAACAGAAGCAAGATACCTTTCTTTCTTTCAAACAGGACGCAACACCCAATTGCCCACATGTTGAGACATCAGCAGATGTTGGAAATCAGGCCAGTAGGTTGCCGATGCCTCACCGGGCTGGGTAAAGTGTCTCTCCAAGTAGTAAGCAGAAAGTGACATTTATAGGCCACACGAACTTGGTCGTCCTTTGCGACAGGATTCGAAGTGTCATAAAAGGCATACCCACAATAGAGAACCCATATCCGATGATTCTATGCAAATTGCTTCAAACAGTGCAAGTTTCAAGATTAGTACCATGAATCTCACGCATGCTAGTTATCCTTTCTTTGTGATATTCCCTATATTAGGGGCATGTGCATTGCATGTTTCAATCTGCAGACTCAACCAAAACCCCAAAGGTCCTTGTGGAAAAGGAAATTGAAGGGAAAAAAAAGAACAATCGCATAGAGAGTTGTTGCAGGCTGTAAGGAACCATAATCACTTGTCGCGTTTTAATCAGCAGCGGCTTGATTTAGAACATGGATCTGACATATTGGTTCAAGTGGCTTGCACAGCCCATAATAACTCCAGAGGGGTTTGGGCCTATGGTATGCAACAAGTTGTCTAGATGTCAATCAGGTGGGTTCCTAACAAGCTGCTCGCAGGAGAATTCTCAGATGCGGAATCTCTTGAGATGTTTGTAAACTCGAAGCGATCGACAAAGCCATGAGAGACGGTTAATACACGTGGAATACGGAATGCACTCCAATCGGGCTGCCCCGACCCTAATGTGAAACCGGCTAGCTGCAGCAAAATGGCTGACCAGTGATAAATGGGTAGCAAGGAGATTCACTCCCATGACACCGACTGGAGTATGCAGTAGGTATAGAACCGTCTTGGCGTGTCAAATTGCCGAAAAGTGTGACAAGGGAAGCATTCGATGGGTTCTCATGTATTACTTCCCGTTGTCTCCTTCCCGTCGTCACGAAAGTTTTAGGCGTCAAGTGTCATTATCCATCAAATTAGAAGCGGTTGAGGTAAGTACATAAGGGGAACAGTCAGTTCTTAATAGAAACTAGATCCGACGTTTTAGATTAATTCAAGACTCAAGTCCCAAGCTGCCATGACAACTCAGCAAGCAAGGCAACCTGCATGCAACAATGCATAGCACCTTGCGCCCTGCATATTGACAGGAGTACAGAATACATAAGTATTCCACTACAGGATTCGAAAATGTGGCAACTAGGAATGAACATCCATGCTTTTCTTGATTCTGCGAGGACAAAGAATCAAATATCGGTAAGTGTGTATCCAAATGAATAGCCCTAATGGTACTCCGTAGTAGTATGTGACAAGTCAACTTAACCGGCGCCACGTTGACAAGGTCTTTTAGCCACACACTTTTGGTAAAAAGTCAAAGAGCATGACATTTTAATTGCTTTTGTTGAATTCTTCCAAAAAATTCAACGCATTCCCACGAGTTGAATTGCATGTTAACCAGCTTTGGACGTTGTGAGACGCCACTAGTCAAGTTTATAAGATAAACCTGCGACCGACTCTTTTGTGTGAAAAACATTGACAAAATATATTTGGCAGGTTTCATAAATTGAATATATCCTCATATTTGAGAAAGTAAACGAAGCTTTTCGGGAGCAGATCCGGGGCAAGGGAAAACGGATCCCTTACAAGACTCTCTGGTACCATTATCGATTGCATGTGGCTGAGGTTTCAACGAATGGGAGATTTAACTCTCCCGTATCTCCATTCGATATTCAATTAGACACTCTTTTTTCTAGCCTTGGGTGGATCTGTCGCAGAGGGAGTAATTGAGTGGCAATGAGTAAGCGCCCCTTACACATCAAGGTAGATGAGCTTAATATAGCCCTAACATGCGAAATGAAACAGTGTCTACGGTGGGCTGCTTTTCTCGGTCAACTTTTGAGACATATCCAGCCTTGTTCTGACCTTTTCTCGAATCTCCAAGGTAACAAAATGAGGGGCAAACGAGAGGGGTATAGGTCGAGTCGATCAAGTCATATATAGAGTATTCAGACAAGGGTCGTGTTCTGATCAATCAAGAGTGTCTGTGCAGCCTGGTGTTTCGGGTTTTTACCGTTCGCCTCCATTATCGTTTGCACCGCGCCTTCATGGCCTGGTAGTTTGGTTCGTGTGGGGGGGGGTTATGGGAGTTGACTTTTAATTTAGGTACATTGACGAGCATGACCATGATTTAGAAGACAGTACATAATCAAGAGCTTTAACATTCGACGCCCTGAAACACATATTGATCCCCACAGCCGAGCAGCTCTCTACATGTAGATCTACTGCAGTGAGAGGCTCGATGGGCAGATTGATACATAGGGTTGGCTGACTTCAGGACAGCATAGTCTTAAGATCCGCTGGTCATCATCAATTCCTATAAATGCTTCTTCAGTGTCACAGTCGGAGATGATCGGATATCAAATAAGATGATCTCCGAGGTGTTTGTGATCAAGCACCGTATGCAAGTCTTGCGTCATGGCATGCTCAAAGTGATTTGGAATTGTTTTGACTATTGTATAGTTATAGTACCCCAGCAACTGAGAAACTAATGATATTTCGTGGAAATAAAGTTGCCGTGCGTCAATTCAATGAACGAAGCAAGAATAGCCTCTACGTAGTGCTGTCCAAATCGAACCAGTAAGTCAAGCGGATCGTCATGCGATCGACAGGAATAGCTTGGAATTATTGAACCATTCAGAGCCAGGCAGACGGAAGGGGTAAGTGGTTCTAGGGTCTCAGAATAGGGTGTGGGAAATTGATATATTAACCCTGCAGAGTGTAATTTAGTCCCATGCAAATTGCATCCACAGCCACCAAG